TGGATTCTTTCAACTGTATCCGGTAGCCCGCTTCCACAGGTAGTGCCTAGCACAATAATAAAATAAAATTTAAAACCTTTATAATGTTATAGAACAAAACATGGTAAAACAAAACTTAAATATACGAGATCTGGTTTTAAAAGGTTATGAACGAGAGTCGAGCCTACAGCTGAAAAAGTAAAAAACACGATGTATAGAGGAATTCTTCTAGGAATATACATAATGACTCCAAAGTTTACAGACTTACTTTTTATTGCAAGTCATACTATTAACAACAAAAAGGTTTGAGTATTCCTCGAGGGAGGTAATAAAACTTATTCCCAAAGCCTTTTTAACTATTGAACGGGTAGTTCAGTACGTTATCATAACAGTTATTTATATTTTAATTGTCACTATTATAAACTATTATCAATATAACTTCCAACGTTGTCATAAGTTTTTTATTAACTATTATTATTATTTTAAAAGACGTCTATAAATTTTTAAATTTTACAATGCACGTGCCCGCTACTGTCGCAATAGGGTGCTAAGCATCATCAACTTAGTCTGTTCGTACTACAAGTCTTAATGATTCTCGTTCATTTTTTGACTAAGAATAATATTTATAACCTTGTCGGCAGCAAAAGTTAAATATTAAAAAAAATATTTAGTCTTAATATTTTATTCATTTTTATTTTTAACTAAGTCTGGGCCGTTTTTAAAAGAAAGCAAATTAAAAAAAAAAAAAAAAAAAAAAGAAAACGCATATATTTTCCTTAAACTTGTATATCAAATAAAATTGAAAGCAATTTTAATACTCACGGTATTTTTGAAGGCTTGTAACTGTAAAAGTTATGAAATCTATATTATAAGATTTTAACTATATAAAGCAAGTGGCCTGTACTGATAAAAGCAAAAACTGAAGTAGATTACCATTTTATTAATAATAGCTACATGACTTATTGTATTTTAAAGTTTTATTTGGTATACATTTTAGCCGACTTAATAATCTTTATATAGATTCCGATTTTTGGTTTACGACCGTTATCCTCATAATAAAGATTCTGATCTTTAAAAGAATAATAAATTAGGTTAGAAAGCATAAATACTATATACTATTTATAACGGCAAAGATTACCAGGGAAACCGCAAAAGTAAAGTTAAGTAGTGTATATATTTTTTTAATAAATCACCGCAAAATAATTTCTTATTGCATCAAACTTTATTAAAGCTTTCTTAGTTCTTTTGTGGTCTGCTTAAAAATTCTTTTTAATAATAATGTTTGGTATTCTTTCTTTAAGTACCTTCTTTAAAATTTTAGTGGAGATACTCGTATTCGAAAGTTAATATTTGCTTCTTTTTTTCGGTAGATTTACTGTTAAGAGGGAGATCCTTAAAAAACGAATTTTGCACATTTATTTGTTTTTTGGCATAAGGAAATAGCTAACTTTTAACTGTTACTTTTGCTTCCTGAACGTAACTAGTTTATCAAAAATTTAAATTTTAAGTCTCTGCTTTTTTCCCCTACAATTTAAGAAAAAATATAAGGCACAATTTTGCATTAACCTGCACTTAAATCTTATAAAGTTCATTTTAAGGACATCTTTTTTAACAAAAAAAATAGTTTGCTGTATCACGTTGAAATCAATATACTCAAGCACTTTAACCAATTTTTTTTTTTGGTTTTTTGGTTACTTATGTGCGCGATTTTAAACTTTCAAATATTATATATATCTTTAACCATATTTTATTTCCGGCTACTTATCATAACATTATATTTATTTTTTTTCTCAATTTACGTCTTTTTTCCCTCTACATGTTAAAATTATCTACTGTTTGTTGGTACTTCTTTCTACCTCCACACATTATTACCCTTTATTCATAATTGTACATTCCACTATGCTAATTTTTTTATTACGATTTCTTCGCTAAGAAAGATTAGAACAAAATGCCCGACCTCAAATTGTTCCACAAACTAGAGTAAATAGATTCTTGGGGATGGGCACAACTGCATTAATGGCAAAATTTGTCCTGACTAACTTCCTCAGAGAAGAATTATAAAAAAGGGTCAAAAAATTTGTACTTAGGAACAATTGATTTTTATTAGCATTTATATAAACCTTCGCATTGTAAATGGTGAATTTATTGTCATAGACCTGCATAGACAATGTAGGGCAACGAAAACATTTTGGCCCATATCTTTGAGTGACTAAGATGCAAGAAAATTTTACTACGAAATAAACAAATTTTATTTTTACGCTATGTTAAAAAACATTACTTAAAGCCCGGAGATAAAATCATATTTTGTAAAACTTCTAAAAAACAACACTTGGTTATTGTCAGATCAGCTGAACTACGAATATGCTGTTTATTTAATTCCTCAGTTTGGAACAAGAAACCAGTTAAAAACGTATTAAAAAAATTGGGTTTTTATAACAAAGAACTCCAAGCTAACAAATATACAATTTGTGAGCTTAAAACAACTAAAGACTGGGTAAATAGTAATATTTTCTTACATTTTTTTAATCTTACTCTTTTACCTTTTTTAACTCTGTAAGGGTGAACATATATTTTATTTAATTTCATACTTCCCTATTTAAATCTTAAAATGTAAATAACAAATTTTAGTTAAAATTTTCAATTTAATTCGTCATTAAACTCCGTCTCTGTACTTTTTGAAGTTAACAATTTTGAATAAACAGAATTTCAGCTGGAATACTTTTGCCATAATTTTCGAACCACTAGCTTAACTCGTAGCGCTACTATCTCTTATTTCTTATTCCCCGACTTTTTTTACACAGGTTTGTAGTTCAAGATCTTTTTCATTTAAAATTAGCCAGCTGGCACCTCCGGAGGAGCGGTACACTTCAAGTTTTCCTCTAGATGTTCCTGAAGTTCTATTTGGCTCACTGAGCACCACCTTTATAATCTTCAAAGGAGAATTGCTTAATACTTGTTAGATGTTCTTTAGATAGCGACTGATAGGAGTTTATAAAAAACTTATATATTCTAGGTCCCTCCCTTGACATACTATACACTTCATTTTTTTTAAATATTCCCTCCCAATCTTCCTTTGTTTGCTGCCGATTCTTTTTTTGGTTCTACGTTAGTTCTCCTTTTATAAGGCGATCATCCTGGATGTAAATGTAACGTCGGAGACAGAGCGTTAAGTTATTTTAACTTGGCCTTTTCCTTCAAATTTCCTTATTAACCATCGTTAACTTTATAAAATGGTACTCAACTTCTATTGACTGGGAATTACAAATAAAGTTTTAGTAAATCAGGAAATTTCTAAAAATATGCGTTACTAGAGCGATAGATAAATTTTATAAAATAAGTCCACATCTAGATATTGTTCAAAAACTAAATTATGCTGGATATTAAATTTTTAAGCATAGAAATAGTAACTTTAGTTTTCTTTTTACTAAAGCTTAAAGATAAGTTGAAATCTATAACAATATCAAATTCTATGACGTGCAATACTTCGATTGTATTCAAACAATCCTTTTCTTGAAAACTTTCTTTAGCAGTATAAAAAGAAACAGATTTCTATTAAATATATATACTGCTCGTTTTGCACACTTCCAAGTTTAAATTGATAACACCTTTTGCTGTTAAGTAATCCATTATAAACAACACCGTGGATTTTGAAAGATTATATACTGTTAAATTTCTTTAAAGGGCTTGATTTGCAAAAAGTACTGAGGATTTTATAAAAGCTTCATAGTTACAATTTTTACTCCCTTTTTCTTGTTGAACTCCAAAGATTGTTAAAGGTAATTACATGTGTCCAGGGCGTACAGTTGGTATCAGCGCTTTCAAATGATGTGAAAATAAATTGAAATACAAATAAATTTACTTATTAAGGGATCAGCGAAAATAGATATCGAAATAGAACGAACTTATAAAAGCGAAAGGAAACTCCCGAAAGTTATACAAGTAAAGCGTTTAAAATATATGTTTACCTGGCAATTACGGATACAAATTAAAAGATAATGTTAAAGGCTAATATATGTGTGAAAAAGGATTATTTTACTATTTTCCTGATTCTGTAATTTTATATTTCTGTTAACCCCCCCAAAGAAGGCGATAACCCATCTTAGAGCTTGACACCTTCGTTGATAACCTTTAGTAATAAAGAAAAGAGCAGTGCCTTTTTTTTACTTGGACACTATATATATAACCTGAGCCCCATTTAAAAATACTTTTTTGCTTTACTTTCATTACTTTGATTTATATGCAATAGTATTAAGTTTTATAGGAAAATACTGTATTAATCTGTTGAGGTTTTTATAACCTCTGATCTTCTGTAATATAACGTTTATTTGCTAACCCTTATACTATTGGCGATTTTTAAATGAAGTATTAAAATTTCACTCTCCTTAGTATTTACGCTATAAAGCCATCAGTTAAAGTTTTTTTGAGATGCAGGGCGAGTATGAAAAGCTATTGCTTCTAAGCGCCGAGAAGCAACGTGAAAAAGATGAAATTGTAGAGTATTGTTTATATGTACTTACTCTAAGTGACTAATAAGTCTTCAATTAATAGCTAAAAAAATCTAAAGAGCGGAGATTACTACGTGAAGAAAGTATTAAAGGTCCAAATTTTATTCTGTAAACAATTTTTTTCTAACTTTTGTAATTCTGCGTTTATAATTTCGCACACTATAGAGCAAATGATCCTTGATTCGGATCCTCGCGTACTTCTAATACTTTTAATTCTTTGTATGGCATTTGCGCTATCTAACATAGTACTCATAGACACTTAAAAGTTCTCAATCTTTTAATAAGGAAAAGGAGAAAAACGGTAACTAATAATAATTACAACATCTTGCTCAATTAATAAATAATAACACAAGGTAAGAAGTTATTAACAGGATTCCACCAAAAAAGCAAGTACCTGTTTATGTATTTTAAATACTTTTACCCTCTATAAAGGTGAAAGTTTGGTTTTTTATATCATTTACTAAAACTTTAAAATTGTATTGTTAACAAACTTAAATTAATTGCTAAATTATTTTATACTTTCGTAAATTTATTATAACTATGCGTAACTTTAAGCTATAAAAGGGTGAAAAACCAAACCCCGTTGAGGTCGCCCATCATAACGAATAAAAAATTCAGTAATATTTCAATTTCTAATTAATAAAAATATATTTTTTATTTATAAATTTAAGAAAATAATTTGGATTATGATACTGTTATGAGACTTGCTAAAGATAATATTGAAGGCAAAAAGCCTATAGTGGCGCCATTATTCAATTTTCATAGGGAACTCTCCAAAAGAGGGGTATCGTGTACAAAAGATTTCAATAACCAAAAAAAAAGTAACCAATTTTTTTCTTGTTACTTATAATTATAATTTAATTTAATTGATTAAAAGCAAAAGAATCTTTAAAGCTTAAACCATATAAAAAAAGTAAATCCTCGATGGAAAGCGAGATGTAAACCGGCCTTTACAGTTAATTTCCCTTTAACTTTTCCATTGCAATATTTAGAGAAGAGAGGGAGGATTCCAGCGACATGGAGGCAAGCTTCCACGAAATTGAAAAAGAAGAAGAAAAAAGGTATAATTAAATTTCAAAGCTTTAGTTAATTAAAAATTTATTATCGTTTTTATATATAGTTTTCGTATTGGCGAGAGGATTGATCGTATAGAATCGTTAAAACAAATCAGGCGTATGAAAGACAAAATAAAAATTCCGGCTGAGCTTTAAATGATTTTTATATATGTATTCGTTCAAAATGTGAGGAATCGAGGGCTGCATGTGCTTATATAAAAGCAGCCCGTGCACGCGCGAGCACTTTTTTTTTAACCCTTTTATTATAATTTCTGTAGAGTTAGCGCTCCTAGAGAATTTAAAATTATTTAATAAATATCAAAGTTCTCCGACCACATTATATTACTTCAAAGTCTTTAGTAAATCCTATTATTATAGTATATACGTATTTATATTTATGCTCGAAGGCTCTCGGCCGATAAAAACTACACAATATAGTATAAATTGTTTTTAAATTAATTCTCATCTAATAAAAAATTTTTATTTGGAACTTTAATCCTTTTTTCAAAGGTAACGTGCACTCTTAAGGTAGTTTTGCAACTTGGCCATCCTAATATTAATAAAAATGATATATATATATTATAGTTAGTGTGGCTTATCGTATTAATTAAAAATAGTTATCAAAAATTATATTTGTAAAGTTATTGGCTATTTATATAAACTTATACAAAAAACATTTTTTTAAAGGTTATAAAAATTGGTATTAAAAATTATAGTTTTAAAATAAATTGTTACCTTTTGGATCAATTCCTCATAGCTCGTGCGAAGAGCTCTGAAAAATAATAGTTGCTTTCCTTTTTTTGAAAAGTAATCGTACAAAATCAACTAAAGTTTAAATGTTTTGTTAGGAAACCTTTCATTGGTTTCTCTTGCCTATCAAATCTATACTTAAGAATACCACAGCCTACTCCCAGCAAAGCAACGTTTTTCCCAAGCAATCCTACAGCCTTTTCCTAAAACATTATAAAAATCATATAAATTTATGATTTATTTTTAAAAAATTTACGTCTGTGAGCACTTCGATTTCCAAACTTTTCATAAAGTGATTAGTCTTAAGGGAAAAAAGAATTTCCTTTCTGTGATCTCTACAGACTGCTTCCAAGTGATCTTCATACTCGTTAAACATAAAAACTAGAATAGAAACGAAAATTTGTTAAAATTAAAACTTTATAATTGCCAGTATTTAATACCGAAATATGCGGAATCTTGTCTAGGTACTAACTTTAGGTGAATAATATTTACAGGATTACGGTTATAAAACTCCTTAATGGGTGTTCTTATCTGCGAAATAGATTCCAAGGAAGAGTCCGTAAAACCAGCAGTCGTATTAAGTAATTTCTTTGCAGAATTTTTTACATAAAAAATACGAAGTAAGTCTATCCAGCGGCGAGAATATACTAAATTTCGAAACATGTAAATAAAGTTTTTTTCTACATACAGGGATATTAAAGTGCTCACAAAGCACCTAATTTAAGGGAAGTCGTTGGAGGTCTATATTTTAATTCTTACTTTACAGCCGGTGGGACCCCCTCAGTGCATTTCATTTTAAAACTTAAGAGTCAGGAAGCTTAAAAATGACTTCCTTACTAAACAAATTTTAACCTAAAACAAAGCGTTTTTATTTCTATCAAACTTTAAACTATAAAGGTTATCAAGTACATGATATAAAAAATCTATTACACAAGTAACACAAAGAAAATTGAAGTTTTAAAAGAGGAAATCTGTAAAATGCTTTTCAAAGGCAAAGAGTGGCATGGTGTTTATAAAATAAAAAATTAATGCATAATAATATAGTAAAGGGGAAGGATTTTGAAAAGCAAAAGAATATATCAATATAGTGCTTAAAGAAAAGTCTTTTTTATGGTGACACCCGTTTAGATTATCATGAATGGGGGAAGAACAAGCACCATATCCCAAATTAGATTTAACAGAACGTTCATATAGTCTCCATCTCTCAAGTCTAATCATTTATTAAATCCTATTAATTTTTAATAAGACAAAGAGGGAAGCTAAATATTTCAGCAGAAGGATAAAAAATATTCCTCTTCTTTAGATCATATAATTATTTGCTTTCCCGAATAAAGCAGGTTTGTATATTATAAAGCTAGTAATTCGTTTTAAAATACTCATTTTAATTAAAAAAAAAATTTTAAGGTTTATCTTAGCACGAAACTCAAGATAAGCTCTACCTTGTCGTTGGTGCCACTTGTAAGCATGCAAATCATGAATTTTAATGGGGTTCTAAGGGTGCCGTACATTTTTACTATTGTTCTAAATATATAGATTCTTAGTAAAAGGGAGAATTCTAAACTCTGAATCTTTCCGTATGAACTGATAGATTTTGAGCTCTTTTCACAATCTTGGGTATCTATTTTTGAAGCCTGCCTATGCTTAATATCTTGGTTCTTCTCAACAGTAGTGCTACTTTAATTTAAAGCCAAAATACTTTATTAAGTAAAATATGTGTTTTTAGTATCCTAAATGTTTTGTTCTCCGTGATAAGTTTGTCTACCAAAGAATGCTTTCTACTCTACTCACTGTGCGGGTTTACCACTGACACTTTAAATAAACAAACTTAATTATTTCTTAAGGTAGCTCTATGGTTATAAGAGGTGAAGAGGAGCAAAGCGGAATTGTTCTCAAAACTCTTTCATTTCTCAAAAAAAATATATTTTTGGTAGGTATAAGCTATCCATAGAATTGGCCAGCCGATAAATTAAAAAAATAAAATGAGACGGAGCGCGTCTATTGTAACTTTATTGTTTTAAACAACGACATCTCCCTGAAATTTTTTTTTAAGTCTTTTTATAGATTTTTTGTTTCAAAAACTTAACCATAAAAATCTGGTCGCCTTGTTGGCTACAGAGCTACGTAGATTTATAACTAGGCGAGGGACAGGGCGATATGTAGCAACTACATTCGACTATTATTATGAAATGTGGATGGGTTCAGAGTGAGAAGCATGGGCTGCCGCAATGTGAAAGAATTGATGTGTGCGCTACAAAGGAGACGCGCCTCCTTCCTAACGTCGCATTCAAACTGTGCAACTCTGTTACGTATCGCCAACACCGGATCGGTGCACGCAGCGGGGGCGTGGCTGTCTTGATAAATGGAATCATTTTTTTAAATTACTCGATATCTCTGCCAGCTCTACAAGGTCACGAGACATAGGAGTTTCCCTATGTATTGCCGACGAGGAGCTTGTATCTGTGATCGCTGTCTACAAAATCCCTTTAGAAGCTACTACCGCCCTCCGACTTGGACGCCATCTTTGCGGGTGTCCCTCTGATAGAATGGAGCGAAGAAATCAAGATATAGGGGCTGACTCTGTTTCAGTTTTGCGTTGCTTTTATACATAAAATTTATAAAATTTTTCGGGAAAATTAAGGATGTTGGGGAGCATTCCTAATTACATATTATTTTAGCCAATTAGGATTCCTTTGCTGTATGTGCGGGATTTCAATTGCAAGCACACCCTTCATAGAACAGCCGGGTTGATAATTTGAATGACCACCTCCTTGAGACCTATGCTGACTAGCACGGGCGTGCATTATAGGCCTCCAGCAACCAACACACTTGGCAACTAAAGACACAATGAACCCTCTGGATATTACCATTTTAAAAGATATACGTCACACAACGACAATTGTAGCGCTCCACGAGCTGTCCTCTGATCACCTTACAGTTATTCTCGAATTAGGCGATGAGAAAGACATATGAACACTGTCGCCTGCCCTTTTACCAAATGGAACAGATATGCTGAATTTTAAAAATCACTCTCCCGCCGTGCCCTTGACTACCATCTACAACCGCCCTGCTAGATGATGCTGTCGTCCTCTTCGAAAGAATGCTGAACATGGGTCGCACTACTGCCACCACAACTCGTGAAGTAACGTAAACGCCCCAATCGCCTGCCTGACAAACTAAGCCACTTGTCTTCCAACGTCTACGTCTTATCCGTGTGGTCGTGGTGTCCCAGAGCGCCGGAGACAAACTTGCGCTTAATAGACTGCGCAGTTGCATAAGAAAGGGGCTAATGGCCATTTTAACAATGAATGGGAGGTTAAGCTGTACCATATATCCAAAGCAGGCAACAGCAGCCGTTCATCCTTTTGAAAATTTGTTAAAAAGATCAAAAATCGGCGGATCTGCACCCCTACCGCCCCTTTGTGAAGGAAAAATAATGGCCGAGAATGTGGAAGACAAAGCTACGCTTTTCGCTAATCTCCATATGCCAGTTGCCCACCTAACTCCAAATAATGCGTTCCAACAGGTAAGCTTCCTTCTTCTCGGGGGCCACTAACCACTTGAGACGGTTAACGTTGGTGAGGTTCAAGCAATTATCAAGCGCTACAAACGAAAAGCGCCTGGTCCCGATGGAGTCAACTCATGAAATTCTGAAGAAATTGCCATTAACAGGGCTGCATCAGCTGTACCTCCTAGTAAAGGTTGCGAGGACTTTGGCGCCTTTCAGATTCGATGGAAGACGGCGACGGTTGTGGTTCTACCAAAGACGCTTAAATCGGAAGCAGCAACAAGCAAGTACCGATCCATCAGTCTCCTGCCAACGGTCGCTGTTTTACTGCGCCCTCTAAAAGAGGTCGTTGATGCTCCTGACGCCTTGCCGGAGTTTCAGTTGGGATTTCGGCAAGGGCGCTCCCCGACCCAGCAGTTCCTTTGCTTAGGTGAATGGACCACCCACGCTTTTAACTTTAAGAAGGCAACAGCGCATCCTTAGCGTTAAAAAAGCATTTGATCAAGCTTGGCGTGAGGTCTGCTGCACAAATTACGCTCATCATCCGTCCCTCAAGACCTTTTTAACGTGCTGAAGTAATATCTAAATGGTCGCCTCTTCAGCATGCGCGTGGGAGATATAGTCACCACTGCGATCTCTGACAGCAGGAGCCCCTTTGGGATCCCTTCTTTCGCCCCATTTATTTGTAATTGATATGAGCGACGTGCCCTTACCATCAATTACCCACACGAATCGCCCTCTACACCAATGATACGACCATTTACTTATCGTCGAAGTTTCCCGTCTTGCTATGCAAGCATCTACAGCGCTCTTGATGCCCTCGCTAACTGGTGCCGTAGTTGGAAAGATTCTATAAATGCGAAGAAGAGCAAAGCGCTTTTAATTACTAAGAAACGTATCCCCTGGTTAGTGCCCTTTACCTTTGATGGCGTGAAGATTCCTGTAGACTATTTAGTGGGGAAGATCAAGAAAGCAACTAAGGCGCTTTACCCTTTACTATGCGGGCAAGAGTAAGCTTTTTTCTCTGCCAAACAAACGGCAATTGTATATGTCTTACACCCAGCCAAAAATGGCGTATGCGTCTGCTGTTTGGACCTACGTCTCCATTGCAATGGCGTCAGCACTTCAAGTGCGACAGAACAATTGCTACGCGTGATGACAATCGCGTTATGGTTTATATGTAGTGAAGCTCTTCACCCGAGACCTTCAGCTGGATTCTTTGGACGTTGTCCACCAACATAGTGCCAATGCCCTTTACGACAGGTTAGCCAGGCACATTAATTGCCTGCCGGTGAGTAAACTTGTTTACGAGCTTGAATGGGGTACGTTATCCCGCCCACGTGACGGGCGTAAGCGCTAGTTTTTGTGTAAATGCCAAGAAAATGACATATTTCCGATTGAGAACTACTTTGTAATAAGTCTGCGATACTCCTGCTTGAGAGGTCGAGTATTCAAAATTTTTTTACTCGATCAAGCACTAGGAACTGTCATCTATAAGCAAAGATATATTTGTACTTTTAATGTTTCGTTGATAAAAGAGAAATTTCTCTTTGCACCAGTGTTTTCATAGGGTAGCCGTTAGAATTAAGTGTATACATCGTTAAGTACTTTTTAATAACTACTTAAAAGATTTTAATAAAAGGAATTAAGAAAGGTCCCATCACGCTACACTAAGATTTCTCTTTTAAATACGACTTATTTTATTTTATAAAGCGTAAAAAAATAACAAAAAATATATCGTCTCCCGTCTTCAACTATTATGCACCTTCAAAAAAGCTCATAAAATTCTACAATTGTAAAGTTAATTAAAAAAAAAAATGGTTGCTATTTTTCGTGTTATTAAAGTCGAATTATCTAGTAGAAATAATACTTCGTTTCAACTTAATTTTATAAATTATTCATTTAAGTTTCTTTAGAGTTTATAGCAAGTTTTTATTACAAGCATTAAAAAGTTTGTGATCTTTCGTTACCGTTTTATTAAGTACTTACCAGTTTTTAAAAATGCATATTTTTGTCTATTTTTTTTAATTTTGAGCGAGGTCCTTTGTCTTTTTGTTTAGGTATAACTTTTTTTTGTGTTCGGGGTTTAGTAAAAACGAAGTATACGAAAAAATAAATCTTTATATATTTTTTATCGTAACCTATAAATTTCTAAGCTTGTCTGTGTACAAATCTGTATTTTCTGCGCGGTTACTCGGCCGAAGGTAAGATTGTAACCGAATTTTTGAAGATTTCCAGTTCTACTTATTGTATTATACAAAACCAAGTTCTACAAAGTTAATTTATACTTTTTCTATCCTACCTGAGTTGCAAAGTTTAAGCCAAGCTGCAAACTGAGCCAATAATATTAAAAGTGAAGCTAAGAGTGCCTTATATTTAGATAAAGATTATTACTATATGTTCATGAAATCGAGTATCACAATACATATTGTCCTTTACTTATGCAATAAATTCCCCATAAAGCAAATGCTATAAATTAATAAAAATGGTTAATAAAGTAAGGTCAACGAGAAATCTTTATTAATAGCTAAGTAAGTTGAGGAGTGAATGAACCGAACCCTTCAAGCTTGTGATCAGAAGGATTGGGATTAAGTTCGTACAGTGTAAAGCCCAAATCCTTTTTGGCCTATTTTTAATTTAATAAAAATATATTATTAAAAAAATTTTAAAATATTTTAAAATGGCTACTTATAAATTTTAAAAAAAGTAATCATATGATCTTACGTACTTAAGAATAATAGCTTTAAAAAAGGAGTAGATTTTAAAAATAAAGCGAGCACACTTATAAATTATAGAAGGATAACATATTTCTAATAGACTATTATAATAAGGATTTATGATAATAATTGTAGTAAATAAAAATTTAGTTATGAAATGATCTTCAGCGAAATAGTTAAAAGTTACTTTGTATTTATAATTATAATTATAATTTACTTCTAAAGGTTTTCTAATAGTTAGTTATCATTACATTTCCTAATAAATGGTAAGAAGTACCATTATTATAAACATTTATACTTTATAGATAATTTTTAATCGTTTTATGAATTATTTAAAGTTATTATGTTTAAGGTTATAATAATGAACCTAATTTTATATTGAGAAAAATTTCCTAATAAGAATTCCTCTTCAAAATTAAATTACTATTTTTGAGTTATTGTAAAAATTTAAAAACCCCATAAAACATAGCTAAAGGTTAAAACTATAATTATTAAAATAAATTTATTAACTTCGTTAAAATTATTTAACTTTACAAACATTTTATTTTATTAATTTGTTTTTTACTAGAATATATATAATACTATGAATTGTCATAATTCTTATAAAACTTTTATAATAAAAAAGCACTGAATAAACTAATATAATCTATGAATTTAAAAACTTTTTGGATAAAAATGTAATAGAGGCAAGTAAAAAACTAAAAGACTTGTCTCAAGTAGATCGCGACGTATATACTACATAAACAAAGTTTTCATAATAATTAAAAATAATATCTAACTTTTCAGTTATAAAATAAATAAAAAATAATTTATGAATAAAAAATTTAAGTTATTAATCAAAAACGTTAATTGGTTTTAGGCTTTAAAATATATTTCAGCAACCTGCCGAAATTCACCAGACAATCCTATAAAACTGATTTTCGTAGATTCCGCTCCAAAATTATGAGAAAAGTATAAATTTAGACTCCAGACGTTTTGAAATTTACAAACACTGTTAAGTAAATATCCTATACGTTAACTTCAAAATTATAAAATAGTTTAAAATATAATTAAAAAAAATTATTCTCAATAAAAAAAATAGTTAAATATAACTAATAGTTAGAGTAAATAAAAAGAAGTAATTTAAATTGCTTGTTAAACAGAAAACCTTTATAGAGTAAAATAAGAATATAACTTAAAAATAATTATTAATAAGAATGATAATTATGGACAAAAGACTGTTAAAAAGCACTTAATCGGATATTTTACAAGCCCATTCACGTCGGCTACGAGATCAATGGTTTGCGCAGCTTCAAAATCTTCAACATTTTCAAAATCAAGTCCTTCTTTATTGGGGTACACTGTAAAGTTAAGAAGTATGAAGAAAATATATATGAATAGTTTATAATTATACATTTTACAGTCTTTGGATATTCTGTTAAATCACCAGCGCCCATTATGATTATAGATTTAAGAATAACTAGCCCAGTAAAGCTTAGCAAGTAGATAAAGTATATTGTAAAATTGAATTAATGTATTAGTGCAGTTAAATTTTCTTACGGGATGAAGAACAATAAAGCTTCATCAGCGTCGCTTTCTACGAACTAGATAATAATTTAAAATAAACCAAAGTGTAATGCCATAGAGTATACCTCTGCATCTATAATACTTTTAGGTTGGCGAGTGAAAATTTTTAAGCAAGAGTTCTCAGCTTTTTCATTTAAGCAGGTTAACTTAATGGTTAAAAATAAGTAGACTTACAATATATCTCTTTTTAATAAAACCTTTGGAAAATCAATATACTTATGAAGTATAAATTCAGAGTCGCTGCAGGTAGAACTAGAGTGCTGACAAGGATGAGCTAGTAAATAAGCCGTCAATACTTAACTAAAGTACATCAAAAAAAGTTAAATGTGAAACCATATAGGAGTACCGTGATTATTCTTATGACAACCCATGACTTATTTCACAAAAGTTACGTTTGGCTTTATTTTTTAAGCATCCATTAAATAGGCCAATACCAGCGCAGTTAGTCGAGAGGGGGGTGCAGCGTTACCAGCTCTACGCTTAATATGTGGGAAAAAATATTTTTTACTTATTTAAATTTTTTAGTTTGCTATTTATAAAGGATTTTGTTAGTCTCCATTGATTAAAACAATGCAGATTTTACTAGGTTGAATTGCCTTTAGAGGATGGTTTTTCTGGTGAAGGGAAGCTAACACTGGCATAGAGCTACTCAGCAATCCTCTTAATCTGAGTTATTAGCCATCATGCAGCTGTTTAGTTTTAACGAAGCTGCAGGACTCCCGCATACTCCATCAAAGAGTTCAAAGCAATTTTAACGAATTTTGCGATTAAAGCAACTATTTAAGCTCAGGACAGCTATTAGGGTTTAGTTAGTGCTATAAAAAACTTTTCTCAGAAATTATTTGTCTTTCGTAGCAGTAGAAGAATGAGTAAAATATCGGGGCTAAGATTATATTGTATTAGAACTCAAAAAAAAAAATGTAACAGTCACAGGAGTGCCACACATTATATATTTCGTATTATCTTGGCACCCATAATCTCTATAACTTTATCATTGTCCTGAATAAACATGTTGAATAATTCCAGCTACTAGTTAAATACCTTTTTATCACACTTTGGATGGGTTATTTCCTTAACAACTTTTACCAATTAACCTGATAAGATTGAACATTATTTAGTATTGTTCTAGAGAATAGTTAATAACTTTATTAAACTTTTTTAATTTGATTCAAAACTGTGCTATTATATACAATATATAAGGTAAAGAATCATTGTATAAATTATACGCCTCTAGCATGTCTCGATGTTTTTCGCACGTCCTGTGCAAGCATTTTGTACCTTTAACTTACCCCTTTGGCGCGGGAGATGCGATACATCCATTAGTGCGCTGTCATCGCAGCGACAGACTGCATGCGATCATTGTTTAAAGAAAGGTAACACGCTATACCTGAGCTGTGTAGGTAAGCGCCTGTAGCGGAGCCATTTGTCGCCTTCAATTCTAGGTGCTTGCGACTGTTAGTTATATCTCGGAGCTTTGTTTCACTAATGTACGCTCTAGCTCGCGGCAAACGGCAGGGGTATCCCAGCGCAATTAGGTAAGCTGAAAAACCGAGAGAACGATTCAAGAGCGACGTAGCTCTTTGCTTGTTTTATAGAGAGCTTAATTGCTACTAAGTTTTTTATGATAAATACACTATCTTAAGTAATTTAGAAATTAAAAAGTACACATAATGTATTATGAGCCCTATTACCCAAGTAAAAATCCGTGACTTAGGCTTCTAAATTCAACGCATATGTATACACCCCACGCGTTGAATGTCATTAGAACAGTAGGATAGTTGTGTCCAAACTAATGACTGAAATAAGACCAGAAAGTTAACTACTAAGTAGATCAATTCAAAGTCAAGACATGCCGAACTAAGATTACTTACCGGCTGAACTAGTGGTAATTAGTTTTGATCTGCTAGGGCGTTGGACACTAGTTCTTTTTGTAAACTCTTCTTTACTGTTAACCTTATACTAGGATTTTTAAAGGTTAAAAATTTTGAAGGGTTCTAATTTAGTAGAACTTGAGCATAACACCGAAGCACCCAAAAAAAACCACTAGTTGTTTTTCATGCAAGTAACGTTCTACTCTTTTACCTTTTGAATAGAATTAGTTTTTACTTGATAAAACCTTCTTTTTGCCTTTTTACAATTTCTCTATCTGCTTTAAATTTTGTCTTGGTGTTATCTCCTGAGACGCTAGCTATTATTTACATACCTACTTGTTTTTAAATTAGTTTAATTGTTTGGCTGTCCGCTTCTGGAAGTAATACAATTATACCCTGGATGTTAATAACCTAGTTGTATAAGTAGATAAGGGTTAGAATATTATTGGTAAAATCTGAATAGTATTATATATATTTTATTAAATTATAAACTTAAGATTCACTGTCTCCCTTGCTAATACCTCTTACCCGGTTTATTTCCTCATTTTGACAGGCAAGTGTTTTAGGAGCAAGAGTCTTCATTAAATTTACAGCAACTCTGCTGCCCCTGACTTAAAACTATAAGTATTGGATGTAAACCTAGCAAAAGGATGGGGAGGATAGTACCTACCTAAGGAGCTAAGTTTTTCCACTATCTTGCTGAATAGGTATAGGTTTAGCCAAATTATATATAGTTCCTATTAGCTTATCCCCTTCTTTTTACTTCTCGTCGCTCCGTTAGAAAAAATTTTATATATAATGAGGTTAGCTAAAAATTATGTAGAGTATTGCTCACACAACAGTGGTTATTTGAAGTAGAGAGATTATTAATATAACTCAGTCTCTAGCTCTCCTGGAGCAATAATTCGGGACAAGTCAATGAGTTATGCTAGGATTTAGACCCCTTAGTTAGGGTAATCCTTGACTAAAAACAAAAGGTTTACTGATCTCAATACTCCGCTAGTTAGATGTTAGATTATAATAAAGTATTATAATTATTTTTTTAATATTAACTCCTGGGCACAGCGGGCTTGGCTTTTAATTTTTTATCCAAATTGTAGTTGTATTCATTTTAGATCTATCATAACAGTATAAGGTAATTTAAACCTTTCTACAATATTATATAAGATCCTTGCATAAGTCGGCGCCTTCATTGTTTGACTTTGTGCAAGGATTGCATATTTGGGATAAACGCAGCACAAGTCTTTGTTTTTTTATATGTCCGTAAGGAATTTAATACATTAAAAACTTTCACTACCTTCGGCTCTCCGTCTTATTTAGGTGTACTTAAGGGTACTAAGAAGGGCCTTTAGACTTGTGTTGGGGTTTTTTTGTAACTTTTTAGTAGTTTAGTTAAGTAACTGACTATGGTCTCTTCGTGCCAATAGGTTATGGAAGGTGTATTATATTTTATTAATCCATTTTTGTGCTTATAAATTACACTTTTTCATAGATTAAATATTGGACTAACTTTGTAGTAATATGATTTATAATTACTAGTAAACATAGTTTTAAAAATTAAAGTTGCTGTAGACACATGGTAAACCCCTTATAGGTTACTGGTTGCTATGTTTACCACTTGCTGCCTAAGTTCAATTTGCAAAAGTAGGTCTATACAAATTTACATTAAACGACGGGTTGGCCCCTGAAACAATATCTCTGGTAAGTTTGAGTACCATGTTCTAACGGATTTTAGCGGTTCAAAAAAACCAAAAAGAGGAAATTTAGTTAGCAATGAACGTTAAGTTGAGCATGTGTTACGCGATCTTTTAATTGGACAAAAAAGTGTTCATTCTGGATGCAAGAAATTTATTTTTAGTTAGCTAGGTTAGTAAACGTTTGTTTTACTATTTCATTTTAAAATATTAATTGGGATGTATAGAATCAAATTTTGAAAACGAAACTAGGCTTTAAGATATAGTTTCAACGTAGGAAGTGATTTCGCAGAAAAAAACAAATCTATTTTAAGCCCCAGAGTTTTGCTGGTAAAAGGGTCGAGATAGGGGCCAGAAAACGTGCACTGCACCCAGTTATTATTTAATGATTTTTTTTAGCACTACGCCAGGTCTTAGATTAGTCTTCAGCACCTGAGGACACATACTATGAATTCAACGTTCATCTGAGATCACTCATAAGCCAAAGGAGGATTGCCTTGTATCCTAAAGTTTTCTATCGTTAAGTGCTTGCAAGCGATGAAGCCTGTAGTAAAATTAACTACGGAGTATTCTTTAGTGAATTCTCCGGGGCTGTACTTGCCACGTCTCGTTGAAGCGCCATTATAAAAAGAAGTAGACCTAAGATGGTAGGACTCAGCGCAAGCATTGTTTGTTTGGTAACACTCTATGACTCTTGATGGTTGTTAGCTAGGTTGTCTTTTAATAAAATATGCTACAAACTTTGGTTCTTGTTTAAGGTCACATCAAAAGATTTTAATAGTTTCTCTTTTACTTTTAGTTCTGCGTTCATACCTGACTGTGGTTGACTTTAAAAAATTGGCGTAGTTAGCTCGCTTAACTAATACGCATTTGACTTGCTACGTAGTTTGTTGTTTACCCTTTGAATGCCTGGAAGTACATATTCATTGTTAGGTCCTTTTAATTTATACAAAACAGGAAAAACCTTACTGAAGTTATTTGCATTGGACTTACCTTTTTTGTAAACTACAAAAGTTTCCAATCTATATCTTTGAGCTTTGAGGGAATTGCGACGGTGAAAAAAATTTAGTGCTACTTCTTTAAGGACAGCCCACGTGGTTTAGGGGCTAATAAATAATTTCTTTTACCTTCTTCTTTGCTTCAAAACTTTTACTACGACCGTTTGTTTGATACAAAATCTATTATGACTGCCGCTTCTAGTTGGCGTGTTTCAGGAATGAAGTAAAAAAAAACAATGTTATAATATGTCTACATATTTACTATTATTCATAAGTTACCTTCAGTTTTCCAATTTTGCTGCACAATGTTTACGTCGTGGCTTAAAAAATATTAACGAAACACAGCTTCAACAGTTGGAGTCTTCAACTTTAAAAGTAATTGAATATAAGAAGGACTTGGCATCTCCTAGTTAACCTTTAATTATATATTATACCAATATTTGTGAACTTTATTTTTTTTAACTAGGCCCACTAATTCAGTAAATCCTTCTTCATTACTCGTTTCATAAAGTTAATAACTACTTAATATCTTTTTTATCAAATTATGTTTAAATCTCTATATGATTTTTTACTTTTTACACTTGCTATACTTATTTCTTGATAAAGTGCTTATATTTGTTTTCATATACTATTTTTTAAGTTAGTGCTGGTAAAATATATTTTTTTAATAGTTACTTTTTCCGTATAAAATAACTTTTGACATCTTTGTTACTTTATCTTATTACTATCATTAGCTAAGTTTTTAACTAATCTTTTATTACTCTATGCTTAAGTTCACTGTCTTGGATTTTGCAGTTGTTATAAAATTATTGTTGTTTCATCGCCTATTTTGAGTAAGATATATTTATCATAGCGGTTTTTATAAAATTTTTATTTTTTATCAACAATTTGGAGCGTTTAATTGCTATGAAATTTTTATTGATTTTAATTTAAAGATAGTTCAATGGGAGAAAAAAAATTATTTGCAAATTTAAAGTTTTGTAAAAGAAGTATAATTCTTCTTGTATTATAGTATAGACAAACAAAAAAAGTAGATCCATATATTTTCGGATGGTTTTATTTTAGCTAAAAAAGTTTGTAGCGTAAAGAAATTAATAAGCTTTGTTTACTCTCGCCGTTCATCTTGCTTACTATTACCATTTCTTTCTTTTTTAGCACAGATTTTTTAATTATAAACAAACATTGTTCGTAAATTTGTTTAATCTTGCCAAATTTAAAGTCTGTAAATCTATAATTGAGTATCTTACGAAAAAACCTATAATATAAGATTTGAGAGGAGCGGGGTTTACTTGAAAACTGCTGCGTAACTACATAAAAATAAGTTCTATAAAAAATTTTTTATATAAATTTTAACAAAAAAGAAATTGTTTTATTTTTAGTATTTTTTTAATCTTAATTGATGCATAATGCAAAGAAACCAAAGAGAGATTATTATTATAAAGATAGTCGAGTGCTGAATTAGACCAAAGTAATAAAGAATTTCGATCTTTTCTATGAGAATACTAATAAAAGAAGTCGATCTCTTTTTAAAGGAATAAATTTTTTGCAGATGGGATTTGAAAAGTCGTAATGTGAATATAAATTCTTAAATTTTTTTTTAGCAGATTTGGATTTTTTTAAGTAAAACTTAACTTAACTTTTCTGCTGAAGTTTTATAAGACCGAAATTTTTTTTTTGATTTTAAATACTCTTTACCTTTTGAATTTATTAGGATGTAGTTAGCGAGATCTAGGAAGTTTTAAAATAAATTACTATAAAGAAATTTTTTCTTTATTATCTATGTTTATATATAAAATATGATAATTATTTACAATAATGAGGGTTGTATAGGTAATTTAGAAGTAGGCTATGTAAGGCTCTCATTTTGCTTGAAAAAAAGTTTTATCTTTGATTTTGCTAAAATTAATGATTTTAATTTTTTGTTAGACATTTTGGTAGTTGATATATTTTATTCTAAATATTTGTTAAAGATTTTACCTAATAATATAAATATTATCTACTTGTTTCGAGTATTTTTTTAAAGTGTTCTCAATTTTGTTGCTTTAGACTTGTAATTAAATTTTTTTTTCTACGGATCTTTATAGTAAAGTTTCTGTGTGTATATTATTGAGTGCCTCTTTACGTCAATCAGAGTTTTCTCAGCAGAATTTTTTTAAAAAAAAATTTAAATATATAAGGTAGCTCGAGATTATCTCAAGAACAATATTAAAAAGATAAAAATATTTAATATAAAAAATAAAACTATTGAGAATTTTCTAAGAGGCTTACAATAGTATAAAATTAATTCAAACCAAAAAGATTGCTTTATAAAATAATTTATATCATAAAATTCTGTAAATCAGAAATTTCCTTTTTTTTTTTTAACATGAAAAGAAAATTTTCCATTTTCAGAAGATCGCTAACGACAGGATGTTTGCTAGTCACTTCAGTGAGATCGTCTCCGTAAAAATTAATAAAGATGCTTTTTGCTTGACTGATGGTTTGTAGAGTTTTCTCTTCATTTTTTCTAGCAAAACATTGAAACCACAAACAGTAAATTAACAAAATTTTAATGATAATTTAAATTCTATGAAAACGTTTAAGAAAAGAAGTTTACCTGAAGAAAATTACTATTACATAAATAATAAAATTTTGAGAATGTTACTATTTTGTATGCAATAAGCATATTAAAAAATTTTTATACTGCCGAAAATTTAAAAAAAAAATAAAAAAAACTAAATTTGCTCAACGCAAATGAAGTTTTATATAAATAAAGCTTTATTACTAATAAACTTTAAGAACGCAAAAAGTTGTTAATACATTTTACATGAAATAAAATAAAAAGTTTTTAAAGTTTACAAATTTATATAAAAAAGATTTTACTTACAAGTTAAATAACGTGGTAGAAATTAAATTATAATGAAAAAGTTATTAAGAAAATCTATAAAATATAAAAGTTCTACGTGTTGAAGTACAATTGAGCCAACTTATGCAGCTCGTTAGCGTACTCAAAGCTGTTCTTTCCATAGTAATCACCAATCATTTCTGTGGCCGATTCGCAGTAGCCAATTGCAGCTTCCATATCATTTAATAAAATATAGCATCTACATATAATTGTTTTATGTTATACGAGTAGAAAAAGTAATGATTCACATTTTTACTCCGCTATTGAGTCGAAGTAAGCAGAAAGTTCTTTGCTTGGTTTACTTAATATTTTCATACTGATAAACAAACAGTTCTGAAAGCAGTTCTTATGTGGTAATAATCGAAAATATTAATAATAACCATAACAACAATAATAATAAAGTAGACCAAAGCCTCAGAAATTTTTTTTTGGTTAAGGAAGTTCTTCCCAGAAATATAAGAAAGTCTACATCTAGTGATCACCTTTTTAAGTAAAATGTTTTATTTTCCTTTAAACTTTTTAATAGTTAAATAATAATATCAAAAAAAAATAATTGTGATCAGAATAAATATTATTTACTAATTATTAAAAAAGAAAAAATGCTTAAACTTTATAAATAACGAAAACTTTCGGAAAAAAAGTAAAAGTTAACTGCTTAATACTTTGTATATAATTTTAGTAGCAGAAAAAAAAATTATTATTAAAGTTAGTAAATTCTATTATTTTTTATATGTATTTTAAAAACTTTTCAATTGCTTTAATATGGTATTAAATATTTTTTTTTTACATAAAATGATAATAATATATAAATAGTGAAGAATTCTAATTATTATGTCAACAGTGCTTTACATACCGAAAAATATATTTTTATATAATAATAGCCAAGCTTTTAATATATATGTACTCCTACCGTTCTGTGTAGTTTTATAAATATATCTTTTTATACACACAAAAATATTGATAAAGAAAAGTAAACGATACTTAATATGTATAATAAAATAATAATATAGATAAGCTTTTGATACATATATTATTTAAACCTTCTTAATATCGTTTTCTTTGTATTCTTTTTTGCAATATAAACAATAATAATTTCTTTCTTTCTCCTGCAAACGTATATCTTTTCCAGCGCACAATTCAGAAGAGCATATATAAAGAACGGGAGGCCTGTTAGTTCGGATTTATTAATAAAAAAAATTTAAGATTTCCTATATAAACTTTCGAATCGTTTATAGCAAAGCCATAATAATAAATTTTGGTGTAGTGACATTTAAAATTATATATCACGTGTTGCAATCACATGATACAACATGTGTTATTCAAAATAACGCGTGATGTAAGCCAAAATAAAAACAAAATATGAATTTTATTTATATATAAACAAAATATATAACTTTTTATAATTATAATTAGAGATTTTGCGCGTAATCAGAAAAGTATTAAAAAAAAATATAATTTTTTTTTAATAATATTTTTTATGCAGTATATAAAAACAATTTTCGTATAAAAGAAAAAACTTTTTTTTAATAAAAAATAGAGTTTTAAAATCTTTTACACGATAATAAAAAAAATAAATTCATCAATAAATATAATTACTAACTAAAAAAGTTACATTTACTTTTATTTATTTATATAAAGTAGTGCAAAAAAATAAACTTATTTTCAGTAAATTATAGAACTCATTTTATTAAAAGTCTCTATTAAACTTTATTATAAAAATATAACAATAAGGAAAATATATACTCAAAATAATCTTATTTTGAAAAAATATAAAAAACTTTTTTGAAATTTAGATAGAATATGAAGAATTTTAAGTAAATTCAAAGACATGCAAAATTTTACTATAAGATTCACTTAGAGTTTTCGTAAAATCTATACAATTCTTGTAAAAAATAAAAACTTATACTATAATTAAAAAATAATATTCTCAAAATTATAATTTAAAGCTTTTTTAAATAACTTTATACCCAAAAAGTATAAAAATAAGAGAATTAAAAAAGTTTATTACATAAATTGAAGTTTTTTTTAAAAACTCATCACGTGCGCAGCAGCAAAACGTTTTGTGGTTTTTTTAGAAGAAATAAAAATATTTCATACATACAAAAAGTTGAGTTTCTTTATATTATCGCTAACCAAAAAAAAAAATAAAAAGTTTTTAACTTTAACTAAACAGCAAAATCAACTTTCTTTAGTTTTTAAAAATGTTCAAAACACGCGGTTTCCTTCTCCTTATAACATAAGCATACACATTTCGCAACTCACTTTTTACAGAACATTTTAGTGATGAAACACAATACTTCCCAAGTATTTCAACATTTTTTTTTAAAATGAAGAAAAAAAAATTATAAAAAATGTTTGGGCAAAAAATTTATAGTATGTAAAACTACAGCAAAAAGTTTTCCATTAATAACTTTATATTTATTTGTTACTAATATAAAAATATATAAAAAGTACTTATACTCGCGCGAGCAGTCTGAGCATTCGCATTGAAAAAAAAACTGAGAACTTAGAAGCGCTTGACGATCACGTGGGTTTCTGATCTGGTTGTAGACTGGTCCATACGATATGGTTACCTCGGCCTCTACAGTCAATAAGAATAGCAACTTACTTTCCAGCCGTAATTATTAGTTTTACTATATAAGCTACACGAAAACGTTGAGCATTTTTAAAAATTATGAGAAAAGTTAAACAAATAAATGTTTCAAATATATTTTAAAAGCTCCAAATGACTTTTTTAAAAAAAACTGCGAATTACTTGTTATAGTAATGGAAATAGTCATTCACGATATATTTTTTTAAAAAACTTTGTGTTTTTTTTTTTAAAAAGTATTTAGCTAATGTTAAACACCATTCATTATTATATGGTTAATAAAAATAATATGAAAAATGTTTAATATATAGGAAAGTGCCTTCAGGAAATGAACTGGATGTGTACAGAATAGCAGTAGACCCGTCAAATCTGTAGTTATTAAAAAAAAATATTAATACAAGTATTTACCAAGTTTTACTATTATTGAGGTTTAATAAAATAAGAAAATAATAAAAACTTTAATATAAAAAAATAATAATAAAGTAATTCTCTTAGTCCTCGTCGGATAATAAAAGGTTGTGCTTGTATATATAACTATCAGGAATGAGGATTTCTTTACAACTTTTATTTATTAAACATATACTAACAACCAATAAAAAAAAGAATAAGCGTCTAGGGGTCAGCAAGCCAATAAAAAGCGTTGAATAGCCTCTAGCTGCGCTTTTATTTACTTTAATTGCAAACATCGCATGTGTATTTGAAGTGGCAAAAATATGCGTTTCTGTATAGCGAAGTACTTACCAATAGAAGGCATTTATCTTTACTTTTATAAGAGAAAGAACCAATAATAATAACAATAACGCATGTATGATTACTAAAAAAAGCGTCATAGTGTGTAAAAAAGGCATAAAAAGTTTTACAGTAAATGAGAATTTGGTTTGCACGAGTGGTTGACCAATGAGAGAAAAGGGTAAATGGCCAAGCCGATGTTCCTCTGCTCAATGATTGGATGGTTGCAGGAATCTTCCAGATGCATTACAGTAAGGGAAATTGAGTTTAAGGGGACCTTTTATGAAACGCAAATAATCTAAGATTTTAAATTTAAATTCTATTAAAATAGAAAAATACATAAACTGAGTTTTGAAGAAGTAAAAAGACAATCCAAAGTAGAAAACTCTGGTCAACTTACCAAAAATGCTTAACTTTATATAATATAAGTTAAAAAAAAAGTACAATTAGGGGGATTCTCAATTCTGTTTTTTACCAACAAAATCAAAAACTGAGAACTTTACGCACTCTACTTCCGCGCATTCTTACGCTCTTTAACTAAAATTGAACATTATGCATTTATCTTTTTTTATTTTTCAAAAGTAACCATTTATAAGTAGTAAATTAATTTGCCTGGGTAAATTTAATTTAATTTTTATTGAAAGTTAATATTTGAGGAATTAAAAGGCATAACAATAAGGCTATTATAAGAAATACAAATTTAATTCTAAAAAAAATAGTTATAGACCAAACTGAAAAATGCTCAAAATAAAAAATTTTTAAATAAATATCGACGAAACCAGAATTTAGTGACTACTATAGAAATAAATCTCATCTTAATTATTAAAGCAGAATTCCTAGATTTAACGAATTTATCTGCAAATAAAATTATATAAATTTAACAACCTGAAGAAAATGAAGGAATAAATCTTTGGGGCTAAAAAGTTCTATAAAAATAATTAAAAGAAAATATTTTTTTAAATTAAAATTTATTTTTTAATAATAAATAATAACCAAAAGCGTGTGCGAGGAGCATTGCAGTAGTTAAAGATTCAAGAAGTGTTGGAAGATCCCATTGATTGTAATGATGAATTAATAATTTAATTTCTTCGTAAGTGCCTAGTATATAGTTAATAGTGAATATACAATTAGTGTTAATCTATGGAAATATAAAATCTATTTGTTTATATTTAACGTAAAAAAAAATCTTAAAAAAATTTGCAAACCTTTTTTGAGTGATTGTAATTTATAACCGCATAGCGCCAACCGAAGGGCTAAACGAGCATAAGGATCAGCGTTGGTCAAAAAATAATTCTTAATATCCTTAAAATCTTCTTTTTCTTTTTTTTCTGCTAAAAAAAAAAACTAAAAATTTTTAGAAAAAATAAATTAATTATAATACCCGAACATTCACGATTGTGATACAGTTCTCTTGCAAGAGCAAGGCAATGGGTAGAGCAGTAAAACGCGCCGCACTTATTTCCACAAGGAACAAAATTATTAACTTTCATTATTATTAAATTTTAATTTAAGTACAATAGCACTAAAGAAAATAAAAGCAAACCAACAAACGTTACTAATGCTTTAAAGCAAAATTCGCAGTACTTCGTTCGATACTTTGAATATAAAAACTGACAAAAGGGTTTTTCTTCCAAAACTTTAGTACCGCAGGTAAAATTTTTGCCTTCATTCAACTTTCTTGCTAAGTATTTTCAATGTATGAGAAATTTTCGTTTTACATTGTGTTTTACTAGACCTTTAATGGCCCGTCCCTTTTTTGCTTCCGTAATAACTTGTAAAGAAAGAAGTTCATTCTTGAATAAGTTTTTTTTATTTTTTAAAAAATTCTTTACAATAAAGGTGGTAGGAGGCGGAGTTTTGTTAATGCAAGGATGCAATTTCTCTTTAAAAAATTCTCTACTAGCAAAAAACTGTCATAAATATATATATATATTTAGTATATATATACTTAAAGTTAACAATTATATTTAACCAATTCAATTGATATATTTATAAAAAACAGATAATACGCTCGAATACCTAAAATTTTGGTATAAGTTTTCCCAAGATACTTCAACAAAATCTTTGTTAAGTTCACCTAAAGATAGTTCATAAAGCTTTACTCCAAGTAAGCTTTTACAAATAGATAATCTTAAGGATGGTGAAGAAAAATCTGAATCCGAAGTAGAAAACAGATCGCTGGTGTGTTGCAGCGCTAGCTTCCCTTTTAAGCAAGCAGCTAAGAACATTGTCGTAACCATTGCTGCACCTGAAAGATAAGATTTAATACTATTTCTGACGTTTTATAAAATTTTTGGTTTTTTAATTTTTTATATAATATTTTAAAAGTAGCCCATATTTTATTCAATTGGTAAATTGGCAGAGTGCTCTGACTCAAAAAAGATTATTCACTAGTTTGACATGTTAGTATATTAAAGCAAATTGTTTTGGTGTCGCCAAAGTAGACAGCACCCGTGAGCGAATAATTTTTTAAGTTGAAAGAAACTAAAAAATTATGTAAAAGGTAAACGTGGAGGGGTTGACATAAGAAAAGCTAACGTAAGGTACACCGAATAACAAGTGCATTTTTTTATGATATATTTTAAGTCTTTAATGTAATATACATTAAAATTTAAACTTAATAGCGGACATGGTAAACATAAAGTTTTATTGTATAAAAGCGAAGTCAAATAGCTTAATTATATAATTACAAAGCCCTATCTGCAAAATTTAAAAACTCATTTTTCACAATTTATCACTTGGGAGCATTTGTACCTATAATCTGTAACTAACAACTATTCAGCTTAAGCATTGCTAACGATATCACAGTTTAACAGCTTTTAAGCTAGATTAAAATTTGTAAACTGTTTTTACTTAGTCCTTTAATATAGATAAGACGCACTATTTATAAGTTATATGAAAATAGCGCCCTTCTTGACGGCTATAGAGACTTCATACATTTAGTTTTTCAAACTAGCAATTTGTGTTACTTTCGTGAAAGTATCTTTTTGAGCTTTTAAATATCCACTCCCTCTAATCTTGAATGTTCTCTACAATAAAAGGGCCTGCGCTCCTTTGTTTATAAGGTCGGTTTTGGTTTTGGTCCTTTTTGTCTTAGTATAATTTTTATTTTCTTTTAGCTTAACCTTGCCCTCTTAACTATTTTGATTATCATTAATTATTTTTACTAGTCTGTTTTTATGCTATTATTAGCATTTCTTTATCACGTGTAGTAACTATGGCGGTACCGACTATATTTTTTTAAATGAGTGGGACAAACCCTTAACTTCTAAAACGAAAGTATTTTTACAAATTTAAAGTATAACTCAATTTTTAACTAGTTTTAAATGAAAGTAAGGACGGCACTATCAATATACACAGTTTAATATATTATGCAAGATAAAGTCAGGAAACAAAAACACAATGGTAGTCACTTAACACAAACTGATTGCTCTTTTAAAGTCTACATTAAATAACTTTTAACAAAAAATTAATCTCTAGCTCAAAAAAGGTGCTATTTGTGTTTTTTTTTTGACTACAGGTTGTGTGTTAAAGCTCTAAACCTTAGTAAAAACTCTTAGAAAATCCCAGCGCAAATTGTAAACTTCCATGTCGATTATATTGCGCGAAGCTAACGCATTTATGAAAATTGCTACGTTAGCAAGAAGAAATATAGATAATGTTATCAATGTAGAGAGTAGAGGGTGTTAAGAAACTTAAATAGTAAGCAATAAAACATATATTCATTCTGATATTTGAATTTTTCAATAATTGGTCATTTTTTTATTTTTTATTTTAATGGTTATCTAAGCGATGTCCAAAGTGGGTAGGTAGCAAACTTAATTAAAAATCACTTACTAAATAACTTCGTGAGACTTATATTTTTGGATTGATTTTAAAAATTTAATAAATTTAATTGGGAGATGTTAACTTAAACAAGTTAAGGTTAACTAATACTCACAATAGCTCACTGATATAGCTTTTTTAAGGCGTAAATTTCTTTTAGGACTGCCGTGATAATAGTTTGGCCATTACTTACTAAAGGTAGTATAACTTGTATAAGAGCTGGATTACAAATTTTTAGTGTAACAAAAAAGAAATTTTTAAGGAAATTAAAAATTTATTTAGTACATACTAGATGCTATGGCTTTCAGGTTATGTAAGTTTTCTATGATCCTATAAACCACGTAATCGCCATTTACACGCCAAATAAGCTTTGTATGGGTATTCCATAAATTTTATAAAGACATGGTGTTTATATTTAATAAATTCAGCAGTTTATATTTGCTTTATATTAATAATGCTTACTGCAAAAATACCAGCATAATTTCTATTTAACCCATAAATGTTTTTTTTAGCAAAATATTTGTTATATGGCTAGTCTAAACTAAATCTAAAGAGTGTTTTTTTTTTGCTTTAAAAAAATATGGTACACCAGATAAAAATGCATTCCATGGTTTTAGTGGTCTTATGTGATGGGACTACTTAAGTTTTTTAAAACTAAAGGTTTGCGTTCTACATTCTGTTATTCTTGGTGAAAGCTTGTAACCTCTTTGAGTTTACGTTAAAAAATTTGCAAGATTCATTTATTTAAATTAATCTTAAAAATTTTATAACTCCCAGGTTTTTTATAAAAAAGTGCTATATTGTTAGACAACTATTCGTCAACCGGGCAAGGCTAGCTGACATCGAGGTAGAAAGTGGTAAACTTTCAGTTAACATCTAAAAGGTACCATTCTGAGGGAGATTAGTGTTGGTCGATTAATTGACGTAGAGATGAAAATTATTCCATAATAAGCGAAAAAAATCTATTTAAGTTTTATTTTACTATTTTTTCTAAGATTAAGTTGTCTTTATATATCACGATGAATAACTATAATCAGTAGAAAAAGCCAAATTTTTTAACACTTAATACTATGGAAAGGTAATACGATAATGAACACATATGTAAGGTCATCATGTCATTATAATAAAAATTTAAGGTAAAACCTGTGTATACTATTACAACTATTAACTGAGAACCCGTAGGTTTATCAGCTCTATTAACAAATGTCAAGAATGAATTCTAAAGCGAAATTATATTATAACTTGTAATTTATATAAGGCATATTAGCTTTAGCAAGACAAAGAAAAGAGAACCTAAGCAACCTCGACATAAACAGACTTGAAAATTTTTTTCTTCAGTCTTTGACAATTGAGTAAAGGCAAATTACTAAAAACAGATGCGCGTCAATCAGAAAAGATTTGTAATGTAAAAGCCGTGTTTGTCTAACTATAGGGTAGCCAACCAATGCAGTTAAATACAGGAACATAACATGAAGAAATTCAGCCCATAATAATTTTCGGGCCATTGCTTATATATTTAGTGAGCTCTTCTGGTGTTTTTTTGTGTTGTTTATTTTGTTAAAGGTTAATATGCTACATTAGAACACGCGCCAAGAAAAAAAAGATAATGATATAGTATTACGTCGAGTAAATAGAGAAATTACAAATGAAATATTATAACAATGTCATAAACTTTAGAAGTTTATCTAAATAAATTTACTTATTTCAAAGTTTATAATTACGAACCAAAAACCGGTCGTCCCAATCTAACTTATTGTTTATTTTACCTATAATTTACATGGATTTCATCGTTAGAAATAGACCGATAGCAATGCTTTAAACTTAGTTTTTCATCACTAACGATAAATTTTTAGCTTAACAGGGAAAAAAAGTTACTAAAATTTTTCAATTAATTGGAAACAGAATTAATCAGTAATCCGGTGGTGTTTAATATTTATTGAGAAGGTAAAAATACGGCCTATCATTTTTGATATTAAAGTATATGCACAGGTAATCATTTTTGCTATACATTTACTATCTCGGTGGTAAATTCCTAACGGCTCTTATAACAAAATTTGAAGGATGACTACAACTTATAACTTTCAGTTTTCTATAATATACGTGGCAACTAGTTTAAGAACGGCGAGGGCGCAAGCGGCCCTCTTTTCTTATCAGTCCTTTAGCTATTGTAATATATTCATCTGTTGGGAGTACAAAGGAATCCGGGGTGGCCAAGTCGGGCATATACTTTTTTTGGCTTTCAAGCACTTTTTTAAAAACTCTGGTGGCTTGTCTGCTAGGCGAGAGTCGCTTCCCTTTTATGGGAGAGACAGTGGGCAGAAGGGTCGGTCGGCCATCTAATAGTGTTCTTAAGCAGGCCTTCGCGCACGAGGACAAGGCATCAACGTCATAGCCGCCTTCCAAACACAATACTAGTTTCTCCTGTGCAAGAGCACCCAACAAGTGAGTCATGTGAGAGAAGCCTGAAGGGAGAAAGCAAGGGGACTCAAGACCTTAGTAGTTATGGTTGTTACCTTCTTTGGAGACGTGATATTCACCAATGGCATCCCCTTCAGCTGCATCGAAGCCTGCAGAGACAAGGACCAGCTGGGGTTGGTAGAGGCGAGCAATGGGGAGTATCACGTGGTGCATGGCTGCTAGATAGTCTATATCGCCCATACCGTTCTTATCTGGTATAAATATACTCAAACGGCATTTTAAAAATTTTTTGGCAGGACTTACTCTGGAAAGGGATATTAACGTTGAAACCCTCTCCTACACCAACTCCGTGCTCTTCAATCTTCCCCGAGAATGGATAGAAAGTGCCGTTGTCGTGCCTGTGGACGGAAATATACATGACCTCGTTGGTGTCATAAAAAATGCTTTGAGTCCCTATTAGGGGTATACTCAAAAGTTGCAGTAAAAACTGGATTTTTTTTTTAACCATTGCCATGATGAATGTCCCAATCGACAATTAATACGCGCTGAATGTTATAAGTCCGCAAAGCGACTTTTGCCGCGATGGCAACGTTGTTAAAATAGCAGAAGCCTCTTCAAATAGGTATCAGTAAAAACACTAAAGAAGGTACACGCACGGCCGTACAAGGCCTCGTTGGGCTCAGCGTGGTGCCCGGGGGGTCTCACTATGGCAAATCCGTTACGCAGATTGCCTGTCAAAACTTCTTTGACCAACTCGACCACGCAGCCTGCATTACCAGTGAGCACAGTGAAACGTGGCGGTCAAAGAATGGAGGTAACCGGAGGCCATGAGGGCAGCAGGCGGCGTGTAGAGAGTATTATAAGCGGTGTCACATGCAAGCCCAGAGCCCCCGCAAGCCATAACCTCCAGCGTGGGGGCGACCTTAGGGTACGTCGCGGAGCCCAAACCGTAAGTTTGAATATGACTAGGGTGATGGGCCAGCGCTAGTTCTTCTTCAGTAACCAATCGTGGCTTCACTTTGATGCAGAGATCGAGAAGCCCTTCCGTGTCTAACGCAGTTAACAACCGCACTACTCTTTCAGGTTGCTCAGGATGCCAAAGTTCGGGTTCATCGCACGTGCACTCATGCAATAGCATTGTTGAATCAAACACGATCCCCGTGTGACCTTCCTTTTGCGCCTGCGCGGCTATTAAATAAGGCCACATGAGTTTTTTCTTTAAACAGGCAAAGAGAACAAAACTACCGCGGCTTTTTATAGCGTCCCAGTCTAAGTCGCTTTCGCTTTTATTTGGGCCAAATCGAATGTACTTTGAGTTGGATTCTCGAAGTTTAGCACGAGATTTTGGAACCCACTCGTCATATTCCACGCCCCATCCTTCATAGTGTACGAAAAGATCTGCCCACGTTAATTTTAAAAAATCTCAATCTAGGAGACAATAAAAAATTTTAAACCGTATATAAATAATGCCTACAAAGTTTAGGCCTTTCTTTATCTGGCTATACGTAATATTACAATAAATAATATAAATAGCTTGTAAAAATTAGATTTATGCTAATGCTAATATTTCTAAAAGGGTTTACTTTCTGTAAAAGTGTTTATTCTTTGATAAAAAGTTCAATTTGAATACTTCTAAATATCAGAGAAGGCGCAATAACTAAATATTTCTGCATAAAAGTTTCCTTTTACCTGAGTCATCAAAGAATCGAAGCCGAGCTGCTTGAGTAAAATTGCCCTCAAACATTTCCAGCTTTAAGCCAACGCTAAGCTGACCAGGCAAGTGAAGATTCAAAGAGGAAAATTCTTTGCCAAGTTTTTCATCGCTATCTTCATCCTTTACAGTGGAAAATAGTAGTTAATTTTAATCTACTTTTCTTTATACGCTGTCAGCTTAAAAAGAATTCACTGTAATAAAAGTTAATACTTCGGATCTAACGTCGTTAAACGTAAGGGCGACGCGCTCCTTATCAAACAATCTAGGCTCATATTTAGTTCTGAATATAATATAGCATAATACTATGAATGACAATAAGCTAAAAATGGTTTGTTTACAATCTAGTAGTTAGTGGTTTTCTTGGGGTTAGAAAGGCATGGAGCTTATTTTTCTTTGCTGACTGCGTTTCATAGAAATTGGGAAACTTTGAAGAAAGGCGTCTAGCACGGTTTACATGGGCTATTAAAATTAAAAATTGTTAAAATTATAAACTATTGCCGGGTATAAAGTTTAACTAAGTTCACTTTTGACGTGATTTTCATTAATATATAAGAGAAGAAAGAGTAAAGAATAACTATAATAAAAAAAATATAAAAGTATAAAGCAAATGGAAAAGGTAGTTACTGGAAGATTTTAGCTTAAAATAATAAAGCAATAAAACAAAAATATTGCCGAATTGCAATAGGAATAGTCAAAGTTGAGATAATAGAAGAAATTAAAATTTTAAAACTAAAATATATAAAAGTTAGATAGTAATTACATAGATTTGGGTTAACCATCTTAGCATTTAGCGCAGCCCCGTTAGCGCTAAAATTTGATAGCACCAACGGGCTCTATTAGGTGAACTGGCATATCCACATTATTCCATTCATTTAAATGGGGCGTAAAAGAGCGGAAAGAAACTATTTTTGACCAATAAACGCTTTAAACATTCATAAAATTTGTCATTTGAAGTTAATGAAGAGTTAAAATGCTTCCTAGTGGCTTTGTACGTTTGTTAACGCTATTTTTTACCCGTTAAAAAAGTTTTACTTGCTTAACAAAATTTTAGTATAAGGCTTTACTCCCTTCTGAAACCATAACAGCAAAATGGTATAACTGAAAGAAAGAGCCCAAAAAACAGGTTGATTGCATTCGAAGAATGACTTTAAAAACAACAGTAGAAGCTATTGAAATAATAAAAGGTAGTCGTTTTTCTCTAGTAATTACATGGTTTGAAGTTTGCGTAATTTTTTTTAGCCTTGAGGCCTTATATAATGCCTGTATGTTATAAAAGGTATACCGTCAGCTATAGTTTTTGTATAAAACATTTTTGTTGCCTTGTAAAAAGCATTGCTGCTTGCTTTCTTCTTAAAGCTACTAAATAGGTGAGTACATAAGACATAACACCGGTTTGTTTACAGAGATGCCTAACATTATGAATGAATTTATTAATGAAGAGGACAGGATACATGTAGGAACATATAAAACCCAAAATTGCTTAACTTAGAGTAAAAACTAAGAAAAATCAAAGTTAAAGGTTTTCTGGGGGTTAGGAATAAGAGTCTAATGTAAAGTTTACTGATAAGCGTATGACTCTTTAGTCTCATATTATCTCGATTAATTTATAATGATTGTTACGGTTATCATTACCATTTCTACGGCTATTATCACCAAAATTATTACTACCATTAATTATTATAATTTGCAAGTGCCTTTCCTTACGTTATCATTATCTGAGGGTATTTTTTAATCAAATTGCTCTTCTCTAGGACTTCTTTTTGCAGTTTCATTATTTAAGTAGCTGCAGAGTAGAGTAATAATTGGTTTGGTAGTCTGTATCTGTTAAAAGAGAATTTTTGGGCGGTTCCTTCAGTGCTTTTGGTTTTACTTTTAATAAGAGTCGTTTATCGAGGTCCTTAAGGGAAAGCTGTCCAATTTAACACTACGAAAACGTGCACGGTCGCCTAAAGGACGCAGGAAGTCATTGATTAAGCTAGCAAGCCCTAACAATAACTTTACAGTCCCTAGTTTAAGGTTGTGCCGTTAGTATTCGTAGCAATTTATGAAACCCCGTACGAATGGGCTACCAGAGATGGAGCAGTAAAAATAACGTATGCTGACCGCATATTATTAGAAAGGTAAGAAGCAATAGAAGATGCATAATTAAACTCAAAGGAAAAATCTATTAAGTTGGTCTGCAACCCGAAGAACCATACTTTGCCAAAGGCTTTCTTAACGTAAAAGATTACGGCTATTGTAGATATGTGTAAAAGGCCTTTACTTACTTACTCAGAAAAACGATAATTAGATTGCTTGGTGCACTTTTTCCCGGATCATTTACCCATGGCGAAACATTAATTTTTCAAAACTTTGCGTGTTTTGGGAAGGATACTGTAACTGCAATTATTTAATGACTAGGAAATGGTATATACTAGTTGGTAAAGATAAAAAGAAAAAATATGCGTGACAGGATAGTAAGTTTTAGAAAGTTAAAAAATGTGAAGATACAGGAAACTACAGTAAAGCTTGGTAGCAACGAACGTAGAACTAGATCGTAGGAAAGAAACCGAAACAAGGATTAATTAAAGTTAAGAAGAAGAAAAGGAGCTAATCCCGCAGAGGACAATAGGACTTAAAATACGGAAGGACAACACTTTGTCTAGAGTATAGCAATTTCGTCCGAGAGGAGATGTTTAACTTATATACTTGGAAAAGTAATTAAATAAAGTTAATATTCAATCATGGACACTAGAGGCGTCCACGGTCTCTGAACCTAGAAATAATAGTATTAAGATTTACGAATCTATTTTCTAAGGCGTGGGACAGCGTTAAAATGAAAAAGAATACTGCTGCCGTAACAGGAAACAGAAATAAAGCTGTAGAGTATAACATTTTGGCTCGAGTAAGTTTTGAGGTACTCTCGCACTCATAAATTTAGCAATTAATTTTATATTTCATCTTATAAAGAAGGGCTTCCAGTACTGTTATTCTTAAAAACTGCGTTATTGACAAAGCTATGAACTTTTTAACCTTTCCTAACCGACCCCATTAGATGCACAAAATGCAGTTTTGTTTTGCGATTGATCGAGTTTCAATTTAATTAGTGTTAGTAGTTTGGGGTAAAATAATCCTTTTCATGTAACCCTTAGAGCTACAAACCATTTTTAAAGTAAATTAAAAAGCGCGTTGATTGTATTAATTTCAGATTCCCAATTTATTTATTGTTACCTATTATGTACGAATATAAAGGGCAGGTGGTTTTTATTTCTAGTGCATCTTTTTTTACCGGTAAGTTAAAATTAAGTAAAAAGGCGAGAGTGAGGTCAGAAGCTTGTTTATAAATTTTGGAAGTTGAAACCTGCGAAAAATGCTTCTACTGCTGGTTATCTTACTTGTAAAAGATATAAATATATATTACTTTTGTAGAATAATATAGATATATATTCAGCATAAACAAGCATAGTGTATAAAACAACGGTTGTAGAAGAGAGAATACCCACACAGTCCAGTTAAATCGCGCAGTAAAAGCTCGTTTTTGCAAAGTGTATAATTTCTTAAGTTGTTTTTAACTATAATGTAATTCGTTTCTCAGTTTTAGTGATAAAATTTCCCCTATCAGAAGTTGGTGTATGCATTATTTTTAAAAATAATTATTTTGTAAACAAAATAAACACATATGAACATGATTTATTTTTGGATAACGGCAGTTCTTAAATATTCTTATTTCTCTTCAGTACTCTTATTGTTTAGTTTCTTATAAAAATTCTTTTAAGATAATAATTCGGGATTTAAAGGGAAAAGAAACCTTTTTTAAATATATATTTTTTAATGTTATTGGCTCAAATGCGCTTTAATGTAACTAATAATATATTTGCTTTCAGTGCGGTCTGCACCTGCAATTTTGCTGCGAGGGGAATACCTTTTACAAGAGTTAAAAGCTTGGGAAAAGTTACAAATTGTGACGGTCGCTTAACTTTGAGTTTGTAGCTGTCAGACTTTGAGCGCTATGAAAGCAAAGTTTACTGAAGTTGACCGGTTGTGCGTCAACTCCATCCGTTGTCTTTCTGCTGATCTACCTTCTGCTGCCAGCTCTGGCCATCCAGGTTAAAACGCTTTTGCCACTTTTCACGGAATAACTGGCGCGCCTAGTGGAGTTTTCTTGACGTTAACTAACTACATTAACAATCTTAGTTTTCTAACTTAGTTAACAACTAACTTTTATTCCTCCCTGAACCTCTTTTGAACCTTAAATTTTTCAAGTCAACTTAACTATACTGACTTCTAGTTTATACTTTTAAATTCTGACCAAATAGGCGCCCCTTTGGGCTGTGCTCCTATTGCACATATATTGTGGTCTAGACACATGAACTTTAGTCCTTCTAATCCGAAATGGGCAAGTTTTGTCTTTAATCTTTTTTAGTACTCAATAACGGATGATTTTTTTATTATTATAAAGTTCAACCGTGATAGATTTGTTCTTTCTAACGGGCACTCTTGTGCGTTATTGTACGTGATGCTATATTTAACTGGTTACGACTTATTTCTCGATGACTTGAAAGCATTTAGAAAATTAGGCAGTAGGTATAAAATTCTTCAAAACTTACTATTTTTTTTCTTTTAAAGTGGGTCGCCATAAACAGGACGCCTGGGCACCCTGAAGCTTTTGTTACGCCTGGCGTGGAAATCACCACGGGCCCCCTTGGACAAGGGATCGCCAGCGCTGTGGGGCTTGCCATGGCTGAAAGACACTTCGCTGCTCTTTTTAACAAGACCGGTTATGCCATCTTTGATAACACCATTTATGTTCTTGTCGGCGACGGCTGCCTCCAGGAAGGCATTAGTTCCGAAGCTAGTAACTTTTTAAATAAGTTTGTTCGTTGTTCTGTAAGCGCCGTACTCATTTTGCTCAGGTTCGCTAGCAGGTCACTTGAAGTTGGGGAATCTTGTAGTGATTTATGACGCCAATAGCATTACAATAGATGGCGATTGTTGCCTCTCGTTTACTGAAGATGTTGCTGCTCGCTACCAGGCGTATGGCTGGCACACTATATTTGTAGAAGACGGCAACGAAGATTTCGAGTCGCTGGATGCTGCTATCGAAGAAAGTAAACTCATAGAAGACAAGCCGGTATTAATCCTAGTGAAGACCACTATAGGCTACGGCTCCGCAAAACAAGGAACCCATGAAGTTCATGGCACTCCTTTAAAAGCAGATGACTTGGCCTCTTTAAAGATTAAAATGGGCTTCGATTCACGAGATACTTTTTTTGTTCCGGAAAAAGTGAAGACTTTTTATGAAAGTGTCCGAGAGGCGAATTTAGAAAAGGAGCGCGCGTGGAACAAAACTTTCAAAGAGTATAAAGCGAAGTATCCGGAGTTAGCAGAAGAGCTGGAAAGACGGCTAAGAGGTGACCTTCCCTCCGCGTGGAAAGATACCCTCCCCTGCTGGACACCCGACGATGGGTCTCTTGCCACCAGACAGGCCTCCCAAAAGATTTTAAATGCGCTGTCGAGGATTATTCCAGAAATTGTGGGCGGTTCTGCCGACTTGACGCCCTCAAACTTGACCTTTCTGGAGTGTAGCTACGATTTCCAGGCGGGCTCTTATGGCGGCCGGTATATTCGCTTTGGAATTCGTGAGCATGCAATGGCAGCCATCTTGAATGGTATGGCCGCTTACGGTGGTTTAATTCCATTTGGAGCAACATTTCTTAATTTTATACAATACGCGTTGGGAGCAGTGCGACTCTCCGCGCTTAGCCATGTAAGTTCGGTTATAATTAGCCATAACGATTAACTCTTATACTGCTTATTATAGTTACGAGTAATATACGTCTTGACTCACGATAGCATTGGCCTTGGAGAGGATGGCCCCACCCACCAACCTATAAATGCGTTAGTCATGCTCCGTGCCATGCCTAACATAGTAACCCTCCGTCCCTGTGACGGGAACGAGACATCCGGATCTTATGCGGTCGCCTTGGAAAACTTTGACCGACCCACTGTCTTGGCCTTGAGTCGTCAGCCTTGCCCTCATATGCAAGGTTCCAGCATGGATTTAGTGAGAAAAGGAGGCTACGTCATTTACGACTCCTTACACCGTGCAAACATTGTGTTCGTGGCGTCGGGCTCCGAAGTTTCTCTCTGCGTACAGGCAGCAAGGTCCTTGCCATTTCCTGCTAGAGTAGTTTCAATGCCGAGCACTGACCTCTTCGACGAGCAGCCTTTAGAGTACAAGTTGTCCATAATTCCAGAGGGTGTACCTGTTTTAAGCTGCGAGGCATTATCTACTAAAGGATGGCACGAGTACTCGCACGTCCAACACGGTATGACTACCTTCGGGAGATCTGGCCCTTGCTCCGATGTTATGAATTACTTTGGTTTTAATGTAGAAGTTCTTTGCTATAAAGCACAGAAAACTGTTGAATTTTATTCTGTAAATCCGGTCCCGTCTTTGTTTAATAAGCCATCATTCGTTTAATAAAATTACGTTCTTTTAATGTTTGGTTATTACCGCTAAATTAATACATCGGAGGCAACTAGCGCCCCTAAGGAGTGGGTATTTCTTTCAAGATTTTTGTGGCCTGCCTAACTTTAAACGTCAAAAAACCTGAAGATACAAATTTTAACTCGCTGGTGACTGTGCTAAAATTCTCGCCTTTAATAAAAGCCTTAATGGTACAGTGACTTTGAGAAGTGTTAGGATTTTACCTTTATAAAAGATTCCTTCCACTTCCGCCTTTTTTTGGTGTGAGAAAATTTAATCAAAAAAGTGCTAACTTTTAAGAAACTTATAATGGGCATTATACTGACTGGCTACTTTTCTGTAAAAAAAGTCCTATATTCAACAAAAGCAGCTCTCTCGCGATATCGGCTCTTGTCTTACGAAATAGATAACTTTATATAAGTCGTTTATTTGGAAAAATGTTTTTGCATTCTCTTTTTAAAGTTTGGATCTCTGGGTTATCTTCCTTTATTATATAAGGATTAATATAAACTTTGGAAACATGAAGCAGTAAACTGCACATTCATCAGCAAATCTACAATACAGGAAGTACCTTAAGTGTAACGAATTAGTAAAACTTACAACATAACTAATAAAATTTTAGATAACTTTTTTTATAGTAGTTAGTAAATAATGTCTTCTTTCATAACCCTTTCAAACTTTTATGTTCAGCTACAGCAGATTATATAAAGTTGCTCTATTTTAAAAAACATATTTGGTATTAAATAAAAGCTTAAGAGGATCTCGCAACTTACGGGTACTCTCCCGTTTAACTAAAATGAGGTGTTTAAGCTTCGACTTAAAAGTTGTTTTGGCTATAAACATTTGTTAAATTACCGAGCAATAGTAAAGGTCTGTGTAACCTTGAGCACAAGTAAAAATTTAGTTTTTCTTTAAAAGTATAGTGTCTAAAATATCTTCTTTTAAAAAATTTTAATGGTATATTGTAAATTAGATGCTGTATGGTAATATAAATTCTTGACTTCAGTTCAATAATGCCAAAAGTTCGGTGATCTCGGAGCCCCTATCGCCGTAGTCGCCACCTAAACTATAGGGAACGGCAATTTTAGGGAACGGCTTGGGCGGGCTGCTAAGTTTGAAAGGCATAAGATATTTCAAAATTTTTTTGACGTTCTTTCCGCACTTCTCTATCTCATAGATAAGATCTTCAACGCATAAAACTCCTAACTTCCCAAGGCAAACTTCAACTAACTTATTATTAAAAAAAGAGCAGGTCTTACCTTTATAAAAGATTATAATCAAGTAAACATAAAAAATAAAAAGTGGTACCATTAAAATTAAAGCGTCCTCTTTTATATATAAGTTCCCTAAAAATCTTGGAAGTTGGTTTCCCATAAGTAACAAAAGGATCTATTATTTGAAGCAGTTTACGAGACAGACGGCTATCCAGTATTATGACGGCAGAGTATATTTGACTCAAGCCTAGTTTTTTTATGATACTGCGAGTTTTATGGCAAGCGAAATACATAGCTCTAATCCTAACGACAACAATTACGTCGCTAACTTTCCGCTCACTTTGTAAAATAGTAGTTTTTTTAGTATCAGTTACGCTAATTTTACCAGACTTTTCACAATTCTCTAAATCCATTTTATAATTGTGCGTTTCAAAAGGATTAGATTGGACACACACCGTGCCAGTTGTTTTAAAAGTTAATCTTTTTTTTTTAAGCTGAGCGAGGTGATTCCTTCTTAATCGAAGTTCATCTTTATACCTCAGTCGGTATTTCTTAACAAGTTGCTCCGCACGAATAAAATTATAACGTTTTTTCGGTTGTTTCTATAAAATATATAGTTATCAAATTAACTATTTAAGTAGCAATGGAAAAAAACTTTTTTAGCTCTATTAATATTTTCCAGTTTGCGCCGAGCCTTAAGCGCCTCCAAGTTTTTTTTTCTTTTAATGATCACTTCAGAGGTTTTAATAAACTTAGGCCGCGTTGTAGTTACTGCATCACAATTGTTTTCCATCATTGCAGATAGTAAATCTTTTTTAAAAAATAATAATAAAATACTGGATAAAGCTTGTGAAATGCATGTTAAACGATCTCTGTATTGTCACGTGCAGACCTTAGCATGCGTTTTCCAGTGGAATTGGAAATTTGGTATTAATTTCGTTTTTTAATATTTGAATTATTTCTTTCGCATATTTTACTCAAGATGTTTCTCACGATAAGTTTTAACATATATGTATGAAAATCAGTTTAAATTATTAGGATGGTTTTGCAGGGTCGTAAAAAGAAGAGACATTGGTCTTTAGATCCTAATAACAAATCATGGATTAATGGTAGCACTTAATCTTGCTATCTGTTGTTTTTGTTTAGTAAATTCTGAATATTATAAGTTAAAAAAATTATTTTTTAAGAATTAGTTATATATTTCTTAATTACTTTTTCTGGTAGCGCTTCTGGAAGATATTTTTTCGGGTGAAGTCATAAAGTTTTAGAACTGTTGATAAACTTGTAATATAGGACATTTTACTTTGCAATTACATCTCTTTTCACTTTTATAGTTAACAGAATTTTTTAAAAATGTATTTACTTATCAGAGGGTATTTGGACACTTTATATTGTATATAGTTTTTTTTATTATTTTTTACATTATTTTTCAACTTTTTTTATAATAAAAGAATGGTTAAGTAATGTGTAAATTTATTTTAGTTTTTTGTTGTTTGCTATAATTTACTTCTTTTATAGGCATTAGCTTTTTTTAGGTTAAAATATTTCTTTTATAATGTTTTTATTATTAATGATTGCCCACTTATGTTTCTTTCATTTTATAATTGCATCTATATATTTGTGCACATTTATGTACTTTTTCTAGTTTACATTTTTTATCGGTTTAAGTAATTTTTGGCAATAAAATTAAACAGGTAAGAGGCAAGTAGGTTCTACTATAATGAAAAAGATGGGTTGGGCTAAGGGCGAAGGCCTTGGGAAAAATAAAACTGGAACTTCGAAAAATTTAAAAGTAAAAAGTAAAGATAATTATCTTGGAATCGGCGCAGATATCGATTCTGATGAAAAATGGGTTGACTTACAACATTCTTTTAACGACTTGCTTCGCACGTTGAATGAAAATCATTCAAAAGGTTTTTTTCTCTTTAATAAAGTCTGATAAAAATAATTTTTATCTTAGTTTAGTTGTTTATATTACGTTACTTAAAATTTTGTAGTTTAAAGATATTATTATGTTATTATTATTTACTTACCGGAATTTTAATTTTTATTATATATAACGTCTATAACTGTCGCTATAATTAAGTTATTATATATATTTATTATTTGCATTCAAAAATTTTATTACTTACTATTTTTTTATTTGATATATTCTCTTTTAAAAATATTTTAACGTTTACTTTTGCTGAAGTATTTGTATTTAGGCGTAGATAATAGTCATTTTCAGAAACCAATTCTGCAAGAAGAAAAACACTCTTCTACTCGACGTCGTCTCTATTCCCGTTTTGTTGTAAATAAGGTTCTTTTCTGTTTTCTGCTTTATAATTTATTTTTAATTTTTTTATTTTTCTAAGATTTGACTTTGTTTGAGAGCAAACTTATTAAAGATTTTTATTATTAGCTAAGTGCAGTGAGCTTTTGAATTTTATAATTAGGAAGGACTTACGATTTTCTATTTATTGTTTAGCTTTTTTTTCACGGTTTTTTTAATAGATGATATTAATGTTGAGTTTTGCTATATTATTTTTATTAACTAAATAGTGTCAATTTTTTTTTACATACTTTTTGATTACATCTTATCTGTATTTATTATTTAATAGTTTTATTTATAACCTCATAATTATAATATTATTTATTAATGTTATTTATAAATTCATATTATAAACGTGTTAAAAAAATTTTTTTCAAAAATTGTTTAATTTTGTAATTTTTTTATGAAACTTTATTATTTTTTGTTATATATATAATTATTATTATTTTGCTTAATTGTAAGGATTTGAAAAATTATAGTGAACGGGACCTCTCTCAAATATTTGGAGAAAGAAGTGTAAATCTTTTCTTTCCTTTTACTTTTATTATTATATTAACATTTTTATCTAATAACTGATTATCACCTTTTTTACTGTTCTTTAGTTTAAGGTTTTCTTTGTTACTTTTATTTTGCATAACTTTTTTTTATTATAATTTATATGACATAAAAACTTTATATTTATTCTGGAGCTCTTAAAGTCCGCAATAAATTTATTTTAAGTATCATAAATATTACAATGTACTACTTGAGTCGAGATAATTATTTTATTTTATTTTATATGAGATTATCTAATATCAATTTATTTACCTAAAATTATGAATTTAATCTTAAGTTTAGTTTTAATTATAATTCATCTATTTTTGTTAATAAAATCTTTAATAACCGGGTATGTATATATATATATATCTAATTTTACTATTTTCTTTAATTAGTTAATAATTTATAAATAATTATATATATTTTTTATTTATAACTTTTGTACCTACTTACTATTTTATTAGGGTTTACTCATGATATCAATAACTTCTGTTAGTATTGGGTTTACTTTCAATTTTTAAGTTTAGTACTAGAGGCGCACAAATCACTTAATTTTTTCTTGAAGTTTTGCCTTTTTTTTTAACATTTTTCATTATTACTTATAACTTTATATAAAAAGATTTAGAAAACTATTTTTATAAAGTAATTTTTCTGAATTTAAATAACTTACAAACTTTACTGTTTAATTTTAAAAGAAATTAGTTAAATCATTTATCTATTATTTTTACTACATTAATCACTTTATAAGACAAAAGTAGTAGTCTAGATTCTGTATTTAAGTTTTTTACGTTATTAAGTTTTTTATAATAATAATTTAAAGTAATGTTTTTAGAAACTTAATTTTCATTATAAACAAGATTTATTTTTGACTTTATTTATTTTATTATATTACTTATAAGTAAATATAAAAGGTAACTTAAATCTTGAAATTTTATATTATAATTGAAAGTGCAAATCTTATTCTGTTTATAGTAATTTGTTTAAAATAAAGACTATATGTTAATAGAAAATTTAAAATTTCTATAAGAAATTAATTTGCTTTATACATATAATAATAATAGGAAGGTGAAAAACAATTTTGCGATCGTCTACCCGAAGCTACCCCACAGTTGCGTGCTGGTGAAGTGTTAACCTATAATAGTTGCTTCTCTATTGAAGATTACTTTTCTCAGCAAATGTTGAAAAGACGCTCTCGCCATTTAGGTGTTGATCAATCAGTGTTGAAATATTTTACAAATTAAAAATAATTAAAATTAGAATTTATATTAAATTTTATAATATTGAAAATGTATAGTAAAATCTAAAATAATATTGCAAATATAAAAAAATTAAGGTTTTAAAAAATTATTTTATTTAAAAAGATTATTAGTCTCGAAGGAGACCGTTTCTAGTTTTGTATAACACGTATTCTTGCTGATTAAAAGATTCTTACAACTGTAGAGAATAATTAATTAATTATTAATGACTTTAATAATATTAGTTGTTTGTGTTATTACCATGGATTAAGAGTAATTAGAACACGAATTTATTTTTTTAAGGGAAAAATTTTCAAGTTTCGGCTCGTATTTGTTTAGCTAATATTTACTTGTTTTATATTTTAATTTCAAGAGCCGAATTTGTCTGTAATTGAAAAAGGCGCCGAAAAAAAGTTGGATCCAAAAGAAATAAAAGTCAAAAATAAGAAAAAGAAAAAAAAGCTAAGTAAGTCATCTAAGAAAAGAGAGTAGGAGAAAAAAAGGAAAAGAGCTACTGTTTGATTTAACTGGATTTTATACTATTTATTACTTAAGAAAATTTTGTTAAGTAGACGATTTTTTCTATTTTTTTTTTTTTACTTTTTAGTCTCTCAAACTGCTTACTTTTCACTTTACATAAACAATATTTATCACAATTAAATAGTATAAAATAAATCATTAAGGGTATTTATTAATAAATTATCAATAAAAGCCGATACCGCTTAAGTTATATAGTAACTTTATATAATTATAGTTTACATACCTTTAAAGATTCTCATTAGTGCAAAGTAATAAGTTTTTCGAAGTTTTCTGCTAAATATTTGCGAGAGTAGTTATATATAATCTGCGCTTAGGGCCATCTTGTAAGCGTTGCATATAACCGCACAGGAAAAGCAATAGTTTATTTAAATCCCAAGTATTATTAAACCCTGGAAAAATTCAATTTTTTTCGAGTAGTAAACTTATTCCCGAAGATTGACTCAAGGAACTTGCCCAAACGTGTGTAGCTTTTAAATTAGAAAAAAAGCACTGTCGAGATCTAAGTATATTAACTAATTTCAATTTACTTTCTCCAATTTTAAAAAAAGTATTATTATATAAACTATATAATGAAAGTTTGAATGATTAGAAAGAAACAAAAACTTTAATCTCTATACCTCGTTAGGCCTGTAGGCACGACTACATCGTGTTTTGGGAAGAGCGCTTTTACGTACTCCAATTGTGCTTCAATTAAAGTTATACAAACCCAAGAAACTTTATTATCTTTTTAATTATAAACTTTAAATATTTACGAAATCAGTATCCTTTTTCCTTTTGTGTTAGTAATAAAAAAAGCTTTCGAGAAATTTCGCTCGTACTGCAGAATTCAACTTGAAAGCACAGTAAACAAAGCTATTCTGCTTTCGATAATTGTTTTCTGTTGCCTTATGGTATCGTCTACATTGTGAGGAGATGGGACCAGCAACGAGTACCCGCAAGAATAAGGCATTTTTAAATATTATGAAGGCGTCAACTTAAAAGATAGGGCAGAATGCAGGTTTAAGAAGTTTATATTCTATTATAAAGCACAGCTGATAACTAAAGGACTAGAAGCGGCTCTTCCTAAGAACTGAAGCAGAATGAACTGAGGAGGTTAATAAGACAAACCATTTTTTTATTTATTCTATAAAACCAGAAAGAACTTTCAATCCGCCGTCAGGACTTTCAAGATGAAGAAAATGACACAGAAATTACCGATTCAGCAATGCGTCGAGTAAGGTCAAGGCAGCTACCGAACTATCATATAATAAATAACCCGAGACACCAAGAGTATAAATCGCACCAGACGCCTTCTACTAAGACAAATGCGAGTTCAAACAAAAAGAATCACTAGTTCAATTCCTTCAACTCTAAAAAGGATTTTTCTTAAAAACGTGAAAGGCAGCTCTGTAAAGGAAACCAGAAAAGGGCATTTGAAATTTACTTGGAAAAATCAATAGCTCAAAGTCATTCTACTGCTCTAACAATCTATTGGTTATTTATCCTTAATACAAACCACTGTTGAGTAGCAGTTTTAAGAAAGTATGGAGGATATGAAACATAACTGTTAATACTTTTATTACGAAACTTACATATACATGAAGAACTAAAAAGAAAAAACGGGCTCGCGCAGGGCCTCTTTAGCCAAATTCACTTTCTTCTTTAAAAGTTCTTTTTCTTCAGAGTCTTTTGCGGACTGCAATTAGAAAAGACAATTTAATAATAATAAAAAGAAGAGCAGTTACGAACCTTTAATAAAGTTTTCTGAAAAAAGAAAGTAAGGCCTTCTCTCAGATTAAATAAATCGTTATTTCGGGCTATTCGCCTGAATATAAGCTGAACTATCATCATTATATATAACAAATTAGCATCACTATTCACTATTGTCTTATATATTTTGAAATGTTACTGGTGGACGGCTCAGTAGGTAGAAGAACTTTTTTGAAAAGCACACACAAAAAAAGGAGAGTATGGCAATCCAATTCGACAAATGAAAAGACCTATAAAAAAAAAAGAAAGAAAAAAAAAGATCCTTAAAAAGTTTTAGGCTACTTTAAGAATTGAAAGCGATAAGCTTGAATCCACAAGTAAAAAGGCTAACAGTTTGGCGAGATTTGCTTTAACTGAAACAAAAAAGCTCGAAAGTTCTTTAAAGTGGTCCCAAAAAGTGTACTGGAATGTGTACTTAAAACAACCATAATAGTAATGATGATAAAAATGATAATAACAATAATGAATACTTTCCAGTTTGATGATAACTGGCAAAGTTTGGAAGCCAGATGAGCATAAAAGGGGTTGAAAGTTTGCTCGTTCATGCAACATTCCACTAAAACTTTCACTATTTCTCGTTCTTGTTTTGCTTTGAGTTTCAGCTTCAGGAGTTTTGTAAAGGCATCTATATAATCCTAAAGAAGCAATAATAATAATGATAATGATAATAACTAAAACAGAATAACCTCACTGCTCATCATTGTAACAAATATAGCTCGGCGAATAGCCGTGTTCATTCGTTGTACTCGAGCAAGCTCCAATAGACCAGAATCAGCGCCTTTCATAATAAATAAAATAACAAGAATAATAATAATAATAATAATAACAATAATAATAATAATAATAATGATTATTAACAAGTACTGTTGACTTCGTCAAGAAAAGAGGTTTTTTGTTGAACTTCATTCAAAGAAGCGCTTCCGGATACCCACCATTTTCCTAGTCGAGTCCGTTTAATAGTAATAATAATATTAGTGTAAAAAATTCTTGTAAGACCCAAAAACGGAATCAAGGAAAATAATGATGCCTACTATTTCTATCAGTTAATAAAAAAAATTAATTTTTATTAACAAATTTCTATTGGTGCACATCAGTTTTGCAAAATTATATTAAAATATACCAATCGGGTCATTTTTAATGAGCTCGGCACGCGTGACCTGCATGGCAATGAGTGTTTTTCCGCATTCCCTTTTAAACTATATATACGAAAATTTCCTATTAGCGCTTCGTATCACATGTTAATAGTGACAATGAAAATAATGAAGCACATAATATTTACGCTAGAAAGCCTCTTTTTTAAGGGGTCCACTCCATAAACCTAACCAATAAAATTAAGTAAAATTTTTTTATACTAACAAAATAAAATATTCCTCTTTTTCTTTCGCAGAGAATCTATTGTTTTTTATAGACATGACGGTTTCCAGCATGAATTTCATGCGCCTATTGCAAAAATAATAGTGAATTCGATCGTACTTTTTTATAACGGCAAACAATGCTCTAAAAATTACGATGTCATAGAAACGGTCTCGTTTAATCGCTTCTGAAAGGCAATAATAAAGTCCTTATAAAAAAGAGGATCATCAGAGCGAAGAGAATCACCAGCGCCTATAAGAAAAACGTATTAAGTTATAGTATAACATCATATTAATAGCTCGCCTTAATAAGTAAACGAAGAAGTTATAATAAATATGTGAAATTTGTATTTACAAACAGTAAAGTATATAATGATTATAACGAAAAAGGTAAAACTTGCAAACTGAATACTTAAAAATTTATAAAAAAAAAAGAGCTACCAATAAAATAGCTGTTGTCACAAAAAATTTATTGAAAAAAGTAAACTCTTAAAAAAACTGTAAATAATAGCAAAAATAATGTTGACAGAATCATTATCTTGTTGAATAGCGCTCAACGCAAAAAAATATACGCTATAAAAGTATAAAGAAAAATATATGGATACCTATACTAAAACAAATATGTATATATATTGAAATAAACCGCGAAGAATAATAGTCATCAGTTCAACAGCAAATTCAGTAAAGGATTCTAAAAAGTGTTTCAAATAGTCGCATAGTAGCGAAGTAGTAAAAAACTATGTGCAAATAATATATAAGAAGTAAACATTTCATATACTGAGTAGCCTAATAAAATTTCAACATAATTATAGCACACATTTTAAAAAAGCGGTAAAAAAAGAGATGCCAAAATAACCTTTAACAGAAAAAGCGCTAAAATGTAATGCATTAAATTTGCTGCTTCTTTAGTCTCACTTTTTAATTCGATCAACTTTTCCAGTTCAGCTACGATGCGCTGCAGAAACCGCCCGCCAAATTCAGCCCCAATAAGCACATACAACGTGACTGGAAGAGACGCTATTTAAGCAATAAATATAGTGAATTTTATACCCAACACTAGAAACGAACCGTAGGCTGATAAAAGTTTCAAAGGAAGAGCGCCACTCACGCAAACCATCTTCATAAGTATGTCACAAAAAGAGGTGATAAACTCTAACGCAAGTATTTTATATAATAATAATATTATTATTAATAATAATAAAATAAGCTATTAACCGTTTCGAGGGTGCTTAACATATAAAAGTTGCACGTTATTAGCAATTGCAGTAAAGTTGCTTTCGTTAAGTTTATTCATGTGCCCTTAAAGTTTCATTATTATTATTTTCAAAACTTTCTTATTTATTGTTTTTAGATATTAAAGTTATTCTAATCATTATTTATGAAATCATAAAAGCTCAAGTGTTAAGTAACAAATTTTTATTATTTTTAAATATCGAAATTTCTTTTTATCAATTATAATAATAATAAAAACCTTTTATTAAGCGCTTCAAAGCATCAGAAGTATCAAGTTTGCGTAAGTGAGGGAGAACATAAGCTTTAAAAATAAAAAGGAAAAAATTATAAACAAGTATAATTTATATATAAAGTTAAATAGTAACATAATAATTTAGCAAAGGTTAGTAATTTGATACGGCAATCCTTTAACTCCTATTTTTTTTTTAAACCACCCCAATTTCAATATAAAAGTAAAAATAAATAACAGTAAACCATTTGATTTCATTTACACTTCATTTCGATATTTTTTTTAATTTACAAATTTTTCTTTATAATTCATTTTTCATGATGATATTATTTACGTTCTTAAAAAATTTGCTGTATTTTTTAATAAAAAAAATAAAATACGCTGGCAATTTATAGTAGATGATGCAGCAATTTCACTATTTCCAGGAATCACTTCTTCCTGTAAAAAAGTTATATAAACTTTAATGTTAAATAAAGAAAAACATTAAAAAAATCTTAAGGAATAAATTTATAAACGTCAATAATATACAATTCAATTTTTCTTTAATAATAAAATATAAAATTTATTATTTTGTTAATAAATAAAATTAAACTAAGTACAGAAAAAAGAGTAATAAGTTACCGCTTTTACCGACTTGGAAGGATATTCAGTAGTTATAATATCTATAAACGTTCAATTAGCAACTAACAAAATAAAAATAGAACATAAATCTATTGCAAACCCTAAAACTCTAAATTTTAGATTTATTTATAATTATATAAATGTAAACACGCACACGAATAGAGTCAGAGAATACACAAAAGAAAATTTAAAAGTAAACACAAAAATTATAAATAAAAATAAAGAATTACAATACCGCTTTTCAAATTTGTCTGATTCTCAGTAAAACGTCCAGCTCCAGTAAATGACGTTCTGAATTTAAATTTTTTCAACCACAAATAAATAAAATAACAACACGGATTAACAACGAGATGCCGGAGTCTGACGCGGTACAACTTTTTTCATTTTCAAAATTCCGATCATAATAATTTATAGGAGTCGAGTCTCCGCAAGTTTCAAGGTCGTCACCGAATAAAAGATCTTTCAATGGTTTTATATATTAAAAGAAGTCAAGATCAACTACTCTATATACAAACTAAGCAAACTAAAAATTTTAAAATGTAAAAAAATTGCAAGAGATATAAATCCAAGAATATTATTAATATACTATACATCTTTGAAAACTATAAAATTATATAAAAAAGTAAAGTTAATAGGGGAATCTAAAAACTTGAAGAAAGTTATCTCGTCTAAAAAAACTTCCACTATAAATAAGCTAAATTCTATATGACTTTATAAATATAAGAAATATAGAAATTTACAATTAGAGCTTACTTTAAAAATCTATAAGATACACTATAATTTTTTTCACTTATAACAAAGTTATTAAAAAATATTACAATGTAAGCAAAATCTAAAAGATGCATTATAAATTTTTTACTTCTAACAAAGTTATTAAAATATATTACAATCTAAGCCATCATTTTTAAAAGTTTGCGGTAACTTTTTTCCTTTCTTAAGACCAAGTTTCTTTTCCAAAGTTTTAATAATTCGATCATCATCTGATAAACTTATAAATATGAAGAGATATAGATGTATAGCAAGCAGTAGTTTTTTTTAGGTAATATTTTCAAAATAAGTCTTACTCTTCTATAAATTTGTTTTTTCTTGTAGTTATCGGCGCTTTACGGTCTCCATTAATCAAAAACGGTTTCCTATTAATCTTTACGCGTTTTTGCTTTATATTTTTTGCATCTTTAATTCTTTTAAAATTTGTAAAGCTGTTAATCGGCAAACTGGTGTCCTTAAAACAAGTGATGGCCTGCAATTTTTCTTTTTCTTTAAGTTTATTTCTTTTAGACAACTTTACATTTTGTTTACTCTTATAAAAAAATTGTATAGCTTTTTTTTTATTTATCTTTTGGAGTTTCCGTAACAGTTTTCGTTTCGCTGAAAGGTTTTTACGAACTCCCGACTTCGCTATTATGAAAGTAAATTTATAGGGGAGGCCAAGGAAATAAGTCTATAAAGAAAACCTAATCCCTCTGAGCTACCGGAATCAAAACTTTGTGAGGATTCCTCTAATAATTTTGAAATCACGGCAGACATTGCATTGCATCAATCATTAATAACATAATATCAACGAAACTATAGCTGTTACCAACAAAAAACAAAGCAACAGCAGAGGTCACGAGGGAGCGGGGCACGTGTTAGTATAGGTGGTGGTCGGCGCCCCACTGGGCGTGTTGGTGTAGTGCTTGGAAAGGTAATGCGAAGTTTAACACTGCTTTGCAAGGCGATATCTTTTGTCAGCGTAAATAGTAAATCAATTAATAGTTTAAGAAAGGAAACATATTATAATTTTTACGATTACCGGTTATGTCTTCGCTTAAAGTCTACTACTAATAACCTTGATAATGTACTCAAGGTTAACAATCAGCCTTCAGACGAATTAAAAAAAAGTGATGATAAAATGAAAAATGCCTCTATTTATTCTGAACAGCTTTCTAAAACGAAATTATCTTTGAAATCGTTAATTCAAAAATATGGTTATTAGTTTTTATTATGTCATTATTAAAAATTTAGGTTATTATTTAAAGGTGTGGCTTTTTTTTTATGGGAGACGATTGTCTGGCTTTCCACGGGAACAATTTTCTATATTACGTTTAAAGTTACTGGCTTGGATGGAATTGCGTTGATAAAAATGTTACCGCTGGACGGTTTTATCGATGTGGAATCTATTAATCCCAATATTGGTTTATTTTTATATAGTTTGTTTTTAACTACACAGTTAGTTAACTTTTTTAATATAAATTTTATTTGAATTAAGGTAATGTCGGTGTCATTATCATTCTTAATGAAGCAATAGAACCCATAAGAGTTCCCCTTATTATCGCTACAACTCCGTGGTTTGCTAGAACACAGTTGGCCATAAAAGCCACTCATTTCGTTTCCAAGAAAATGGAAGCTTTGAAAACAAGATTTAAAAAGAAAATTTAATCAACTAAAAAGTTACTATTATATTATTATTTTTTATTTACTAAACTTACGATCTTCTGGAACGGAAAACTAATAGGCGCTGTTAAACTAATTTTATGATAAGTTTGCCTTTACTTTAGGCTTAAATAAGTTTTTACATCTATAGTTACGAATTTTTGCAAGAATACTGATTATATTTATTTTTTTTATAGCTATTTTATTAGTTTGCAATGAATTTAGCCTTTGACAATTTTTACAATCATAGTCATCCAATTTATGAAATACTTATTTTTTAATTATTACAAATACTGTACTGTATTAATTGAAAGTAGATAGCTGCTTTCCAGTTTCTTTGCTATTTAACTTTGTTACTAGGCCAGTGTAATTAAATTGAGCACCTTCTACTGAATATAATGCTTTACTGATCACTTTATTTATTTTGAAATTATTAACGTACTTGTATTAAATGTTCGCGATAAAGACGTTTTCGACTGGAAATATCAAAAAAATGGTTGTGCACGAGTATATTATTCATAAAATTTACTTTCAATTGATTCATTTTTCAAATCAATTATTATGTTTTGGATACGCAACTACAGACTCCCATTTTTTTGAAAAAACTTTATATACTATTAAAAAAAGTTTTTTTTAAAATAATTATAAGTTTTTATATATAATTTAGAAGAGGGAATATATTTAGTTTATTTGACTTTCAGGAAAATTGATTTACTACAAGTTTTCTAAAAGTTCAACTGCGCTGGTTTTGACCTTTTTGCGTTTCTTTTGCATTCACATGTAACAGTTTTAGTTATTAAATTATTTATAAAGCATAAATTGCATTAAATTTAATAATTTTGAGAAATTTACTAAGCAAAAGGAAGGAGAAGTAAACACTGAATATTAAAATTAGCAATTTTTCGGCAGCTCCATTAATTGTGAAAAACAAAATTTAAATTAAAGACATTCGTAAAATAACAGTACATTTTTCTCTTCAACGCCAGAGGCCTCTCTAATTTCCTCATGCACTCTCTATAAAAATTTATTTATAATTTAATTTAGGGATTTAAGAATTTTAAAAACCTTATACAGTTTTGCCTCGTATGGCTTTAACAATTCCAGGGTTTTATAAAATACACCCTAAAAAATTCAGGATAGAAAGTTTTCTTAAGCGTAATAAAAGTAAAAAATAATACTAACCAAAAGCTTAAGAGCATCTCTATAGACAAACGAATCAGCGCCGTTGTACAGTTTTGCATTGTCCGCCATCAAAAGCATATCTTGCTCGAAATCTTTAACGGATTTGTATTTTCCCTCCAAAATTTTATTCTAAACAATAGTTGAAGTGTTAGGTAAACTAAAGAAACATGCATTTACTGCATAAAGATGACTTCGTAATTTCGATTATGAAAGTATTTTAAATAATTAACAAAAAGCACAAATTCACTTTTTTTTCTGTAAAACACTGCTTTTAAGTATAAATTTACAAACAATTTTTGTTTAAAGATAGAGGCTTTTCACTATGCAGTAAATCCAAATATAAAAATGGTAGAAGTATATAAAAGACTTTCATGGGCTTCAAAGCGATCGGATTTTTGACTATTGCGGCGTAATCTGGGTAGTCCCGCTTCGACGGGATCTTTACAAACAAATCCGACACCCGCCGGTTTTCTCTTAAAAGTGTAACAATTAGACGAGCAGTACGCTATTTACTAAAAACAGACCATAGACAATTCGCAAATTAAACACCAATAAGGAAGTTAAAGACAACCCAGAGAAAGTACACATGCAAAAAAAACACCCACTAAAAACAGTTCATACTCTTTGTGTTTGTACACAACCGATAGAATTTTCTTCAAATATCGAGTAAAAGGCCCAATAGCTTTGTGTTGGCGTTCCTTTTTCTGAGGAGGGCCAGTTAGAAACCAGC